CGTCTCTGTACGCGGGGACATTAAGGAACCAACTTCATGAATATGCAGTATTACTCCGACGCTTTCCCCCCCTTTTTTCTCCGCATTATGTGGCGATCATGGAATTCGGTCCGAAATGAGACATGCCTTAACCATTTTTGTTTACCGTCGCGCATTCCCCAATTATTATTTGGGCTGTATGCGGCTATTACTGCGGGAATTGTAGCATTTTTTTGCATGGAATATGAGCTTTTTAAATGGTAGTATGGTACGATAAGGAGAGCTCTCCGATTTTAATGTAACTTGGGGCAAATTTAGGTTAGAATTTTTTAAGAAATTTTTGAAATTTTTAGCTCGCGCTGTCTCGGGAATCATCTAGATTTTTAGGTCGAAAATTGAATGAAATTTGAGATTTTTCCGGAATTTTTGAATAAAAAATCTGCCTTTTGTTTCAACTGTAGAGTAAAATATTTCTCCAAAAAATCAGTTTTTTCCCAGCGAAATTCGCAAAGATATCACCGAAAAACGTTTTTTTTCTCTGACGGTCTCCTAATTTTCCATAGTCTCTCGGCAAAAATGACTGTTGAATATCTCGATATCACTGCTTACAGGTGCTGTAAAGGACTTTTGCAGCGATATCTAGGATAATCAACAGTGGTCTTTTTCCGAGAGAGTATGAAGAATTAGGAGAGACGGTTAGAGAAAAAAAATGTTGGTCATAGCTTTGCGAATTTTGCTTGGAAAAAATTGATTTATTGTAGAAACATGCTAATCTATAGTTGAAACAGAATGCCAATTTTTTATTTCAAACATTTCATCAATCTGTCGGGAAAATAATGACACAAGCGCTGTGCCACTTGATTCGCTGAAGTAAAAAAGCAACTTGACTTCGCCGCGACACAAATCATTTGCCCGCGGCGACGTGATTTTCGATGCGACAGAGCACTCATTATTTTCCCGACAGACTAATGAAACATATAAAATTTTGATATTTTCGACATAAAAAAGTCGATATTTTATTTCTACCAAGTCCAAGTCTCATCAAAATTCTTAAAAGAATTATTTTTTCCATGCTTTCCCCATAATTTCTCAAACACCTTATCTTCCCACCTTTTACGACCGGCATTTATCAAAATTTTGTCGAATTCTTCGAACCTCTTGCCAATTGTCTCGCTCTAAAGTGCCTCTAATCACACTTACAAAGCCTTTGTTCCTCTACAACTTTTACGAGCGCACTTCTTTTTGGGATGAAAACATTTGCATTATCCCTACAAAAGACGATTTGCAATGGGATAATGTCATGAAAATATTATCTAAAAGATTGTTTGCATCAAAACGTCTGTTGACTGGCATTAAGCGTGGGCCCCCAACTTAATTAGCGGAAATTAATTTCAAGTTGAGGAGTTTGGAATTTGGAATTTTTAGAGCGGACTTGACTAATCTCTCGAAGATAACGGATTTGACGTAAACTTATACAGTAAATCCTGTTTTCTTAGCAACAAGTCGTTTTCTAATCGAAAATTTTTATTTTGGGAGGTGGGAAGGTAGGTAAAGATGACTATAAAGACCTTCAATTGAACTTTTCCTGCGATTTTCCACCAATGAGATCAGATAAAACATCCCATATAAGGTATTGATGCACTTGAAGAGGGAAACGCGATCATGCACCGCACTTATGGGCTGCAGAAGTTTTAAAAATGATTTTTTTTTCAATTGTCATTGCAAAGTTTATCTTGCAGGGTTCCTTACAACATTTACATTTTCTGAAAGCCGGCTTGTTACTCTACTGCCATGCCAAATTTTAGCCTTCTAGCGCAAACCGCTAGCGAGATATGGAGTGAAAAAGCAAGCGCAGTCCGAAAAAATTGAAAAAGTCGCGGAATCACCAGCTGAGCCCCCAGTTTGTCGCAGCGACTCCTTTGTCATCGACTATAATTAATTATTGAACTCCGTTGTCCAATAATTCATAAGACGGAAACTCGATGTTGTCCAAATTTTCTTTTGAATCTCAAACTTGGGTTAATAAACCGGAAATTAAAGATTGCGCGATATATAAAGAAAATACAATCGACAAATCCCAGAAGTACAGAATGCCGTGCAACGTAACACTACTCAACCAAGCAAGGGCGAGGCAGAATAGATGAGAGATTTTGGGATCGAACGGTAGTATTTATTGTCCTGGGTATATGCAGATTCAATTCAATTTATTTCCGCTGATCATCTATCAAAAGTAGAGAAACGGGCCATGATTCGGGGCCAAGATGGGGATGTCACGTCGGTTCTCCAGTGTGCCAATCCTCAAGAAGGTCCTGCCACGGGTTCAGCTTCTGCCATCCTCCGGAGGGGTTGTTGCCAGCAACGGCATCGTCGGCCTTCATGTTGCAGGTATATGCAGACTTCTTGCGAAATTGCTTTAGATCCCAGCACCCTGAACCCGCTAGAATTTATCGCTTTTTTTGACCATGTCCTATTATACTATTACGCAGTATTTTCATAAAGTGCATGGGCATTTGTTCTGTTTAGCACATTGCATTTTAAACTTCTTCCCACGCTTGTCGCCAACGCAGACTTTATTTTTCTCTTTTCGCACAGTGCAAACCTCAAAAAAGCCGGTTGCACTGGGCGAACCCTCAAACCAAAAAAAAGATGAAATACACGGCGCAAAATGGGGGTTCACGGTGACGGACAGTGACGCAATATCCGTGCACTTTATGAAAATACTATTTGGCGTTTGCACTGTAAAAGTCAGGTGCAAGTGACATCCCCGTCGTCTGCACGGTGTAAAAAGGAAAACTGCAAACAGAACCTTGTGTTCTCAAAGTGCACGTCGCCGAAATCACTCCAGCGATTGCAGGGACGGATTAGTTTATCCCATAATTCCTGTTTTTACACCTTTACGACGTCGTCACAGATTTTTCTTATGGCTGAACGTCTGCACAATCAACCCACATACCGTAAAAGTCTTATGGAGATTGAGATCTTCTGCGACCAACTTTCACATGCCCGTTAAGTATATAAATTGCTGCATCCTCTGCCTTGGCACTTTATCATCAATGTCTCTAGTCTCTTCTCATCCAATCGTCTTCCGAGCATGACTCACGTCCGCTAATGCCGCAATATTTTTAGGATAAGTCCCTTGTTTTTTTGCTTCAACTTCCTTGACTTTATCATCTCCGTAGTCGCCTGTTTCCTCTTTTGTAACGACCCCCTCTAATTTCTTCTTACAGTTGAATCTCTGTAGAACGAAGTCACATAACAACCCTTAACTAGGAATGACTGGTTCCGATGAAATTTCAGACGTTATCTGTCATTTGTGCCCTCATAGTCTCTAGCCCCCTTAACCCACCTTTCCTTAAATGATTCATTCCTACTTCCTTTTTTTGCCCACCCATCCCGTTGATGTCATAATGTAACGCCTTAATGTCTACGGTCCTATCAACCGAAGCCCCACAATCCTATTCAATTTGTTTTACAGGCAATTAGTCTGCCAATCCTAAGGATGATGATATCAAATATTGTTTCAAAAGCCCGCTTCGAAGAAACTATTACAATTTTTAAACCCTGGCTTTTTGATAAACAGACGGCTAAGATCAGTTACGCCTCATTTCCGGTCCAAGTTCGACTTTAAGTTTCCGAATTTCCGCTTATTTTGACTTCCCAATTAACCGGCTACAAAAACGCTCCCACTTTCCCACGACTAACACGTTCAAAATGTCAAAGAACCGGGGGCAGACGCGGTAATTGTCATAATTGCGGGCTCTATTATGGCTATATTCGAGCCTCATTGGCTTATTTATTCAATTGTTTTTCCGAATTAAAAATTTTATGCCCTATTTTTAGCGCTGGGCAAACAATCTAATCCCAGTGACAAGCCTTTTTGTATTCATTCCCCACCCAAACTTTTGGAAGGGGGGTTCTGCGAAATCCCTTCGTTTGAATAACCGCGGATTGTAGGGCCTTTTCCCCTCACATTGTATGTGTCGCCGGGCTCCGAGGCAAAAAACAGCCGAGGGTTTAAGCAATTGTCTATTATGTATTGTCTTCGTAATGTAAAGATGAGTCCGGAAAGGTCATTTTATTTGGGATGATTCTACATTTCAGACTTCGTTTTATGCGTTAATCTGCTATGAAAATATCCGTTCCTCCTTGCACTCCCACATTCAGGATAAGATAAATTTTTTTTGTTGCTGTTGTTGACCGCTTTTCTCTAAAAATATCCCTACCACTTGTCCAACGGGGAATTTCAAGTAGTCAAGTGACTTTTTGGATGTTTGAGGGTAAATATTTTTCGATTTATAGTTTAAAGAAACATTCGCGCTTGAAAGACGGTCACAATGGGATTGGCGTAAAGATAAAAAGCGAAGTACATGGCAGTCTAATTGTGAGACGTACTAAACAAAGTCACGTACCCCTTTTAATGCATCTCCGCCCTATTAAACCTTTCTATTTTATGGTAAATAAAGCCAATTTTGTCGTCCCGTCTAGCTGCACCGTCCGACATTCGCTTAGGGAATTTTGTTTACCTCCAAATTAATTCCGGCAAAATTTTTCTAATTTCGTGAAATAATCACCCCCTCCCGTCTCTGCACCCTCGAAGCGGGAAGTCATCTGGCGGTGGGAATTATTAATCCAAACCACATGACATTTATTTATTACACGACCTCGTAGATGTTGCATAGACGTTCGAAATTCGGAAATTAGAACGCTCGGAGCATCCCTCTCCCTTGAATTTACAATTTATGCAAAACCCGCTGTAAGTTTCCTATTGTTAGCTTTTCGCGGCGTCGGTTCTGGAGACGGTCATTTCCGCCAGCATATCCGCTTGTTTCAGGGCTTATTCGCGACGGTAAACAATGTAATTAGACGAGACTTTTGTGGGATTTAATTTCCGGCCGCCATTCTTCGAAAAATTTTTGCTAACAGCTCTTCTTATTTCAGCGCTGGTCACTTCGAACTAATGCGGAGTTAAATTTAATTTTGGCCACGACTTTACGAAAAAAGGAAAGGGTCGCTAATTGGCCATGGATGAGACGAATGCCAGTGCACCCGAGCCACCGGGCGACTTTTGTCGGAACCCACAGGTAACTGGTCCCTATATAAACCTATAGATGCGTTATAGATGTATACAAAGTGACATGGAATCCTTCCCTAGAACAAAACCTTTCATTGTAAAACGAACTATTTTCGGCACAAAGAACTTCTTTAAGTAGTGGATGTCAGTAAATAGAAATATCATTCAAGTTTTTATATTATTCATGTTGCAGATCGTCTCTCCACAGTTCATAATTGGTTTCACGGAAATCACGGATTGTGCACTCCTTTTTTGTACCGTTGTCTCATCGTGCCTTCAGCTGTTCATCCTCCAACGAGCCTATCAGCATATCCGCCGGCGGACGGCCGACAAATGCCTTCATGTCTTTTTGTTCTCCATGACGTTGGCGGATTTCATTCTTACAGGTAAAGTTCGCTGTGACAACGGATAGTATAATTAGATATATATCATAGCGGTCATGAAAAATGTCTGGTTACCTGAAATTAAAAAAAGCATCATAAAGGTGGCACGACAGTAGTTGAAAAGTTTAACTCGGGGAACGTATGAAGGCACGAGTGTAATATATTTTAAAATTAGAAGGGATTATCGAACAGACTTCCGGACCATACTAATGACTGCTACATCTTGGACTTTACAACGGAAGAATAAACGGGAAATTGAAAAAAATCAAAATAATTGGGCAAAAAATGTAGATCGACGTAGTGTCACAATTGATTCCACGAAATTTCAAAATATTGATTTTTTGATCTTGAAACGTTACAATGCATTGAAATATGATTCTCTTGCAGGTATTTGTTATCCAATCGAATTCTCGCCTCGAACCAACTTCTTCCCCGAATTTCCATTTGCCATAAACGCCGCCATGCACATGTTATGTTGGATCTCGTTGATTGTTTCCTCCGTTTCACTGGTATTTATGAACATTGACAAACTCGTCTACTTCCAATTCCCTCTCCGTTATTCCGCACACTTTACTCGGCGACGTTCGCTGATCATCTGCACCTTATGCTGGACATTATCGACGGCGTTCGTGGTTTTCGCGTGGGTCCGACATTCGTTTCGTTGTGTGGACGATAACTGCGCCACATTGGCCATCTTCCCCAACCGTTTACATATTTACATTCCGTTTATGTTGAGTGTGGGAGTAATCCCGACAGTGACTTCATTGACAGTGGCCTTGTACATCTTGAAGATAATGCAATTTCATCGAAAGCAGATTATGCAAGGTAAGTGTGAGGATTAGCGCCCAGTTCCTTGAGTTTATATTATTCTACCGACCTATTCTAAGGATTTCTTGTAATACCCATAATAAGACAACACATAATCGGATGTCCTTTGCAGAGAAGTTGCTCTGTTCGCCGAACACGAACGAGTCGCGTCAGAACTCGGTGTTCATGGCGCGGATGCGGACCTTCTACTTCGTTTTCATGACAACCGTCTTCACGGCCATCACGCTGCTGCCCTATCGGTTCGTGGGGATTTACCGCGCCCTAAATCCCTCCCGCCGCAACGAGTGTGCCACCATCCTGGTCTTCTGGATCTTCATGTACATGGTGTATCTAAATTCGGTGCGTTTTTGCAGCAAAAAGATTAATTACTCCGCCCTGCACCAGCATTTAATATTCTCCGAATTTAGATAGTAAATCCTCTGCTCACGGTCACCATCCTTCCGCAGTACCGTTTGAAATGTTTCGAGCGCTTCTCGCTGCGATTACAAAAGAAGACGAAGGAGCCGGAAACGGGGATTACACACAGGGAATCGCTGTAAATCACTTCTTACAAAATAAAATTTTATGTACATATATAGTACAAGTGGATATCATTGCAGTCATATCTACGGTTGAACAATGTGATCTCGAATTTTGAATAAAATTATTGTTATTTGGTTGGGATAATGGTTTAGCAAAAGAATCATAGTGATGATGGGCGATCTCACGGCGCGACAAATCCACATTATTTTCCCGACAGACTGATCAATTTTTGCCGGATTGGTCGTTAGTGACGCTTGATTTTTTTACGCTGATTTTCGTATCAAAACAAAACATGGCAGATTTTTTGAGAGTAACTTGAATTTTGGGGTTGGCAATGCATATTTGCTATGGAACAACACCAAGTACGACGCTAGGATTTTCTTCAAATTTCGCATACATTTTGGGCATAGAACATATACGCCTCCTGAAACGCTTAGCTGACGCTATGCAAATCTGAGCGTCACTCTTGCGGTACCTTTCCTGTTAGTCACATTGTTCGTCGATTAGACCATCATAGTCAAGTTTGGCCCTTTTTGGATCTTCTATGGTCATAGACAAATTTTTGAAAGATTTGCAGGTCGAGTGTATTTACATATTGACAGTGATAAAGTAGATTGGATTTTGGGATCAATATTGCGGTTGGTAGCTTCGATTTTTTGGTCGATTCGTAAACTACTATTATGGTCGGTTTTTGGTCGCCTTTTTTGTTGTGATAAAGTCTTGCTGATTTTTCAATAAATGATTGATTTGTCGGTCGATTTTATTGCCGGTTAGAAAGCTCTAATCAAGGAGTTTTGTGGTCATGAAGAAGTTATCGTCAATTTCTTGCCCGAAGTTGGTTTTTCAGTTGATTTTTTTGTCAACTTCATTTCAAATTTTTTCGTAAGAATCAATAAGCTCTTGAAGCCTTAACGCAACTTTTGCAACTGTGCACTCAACTTTCAACCACACGTGCAATTCAAAACTCTCATTATACTTCCAAAACATGAGCTGAATCCTCTTAAAAATCACCCTTACCATTCCCTTATCCTTTTACAATTCCCATTGTAAAAGTGTCAAATCCGAAACACAAGGATGTTTTCGAAATTCAAAACCCGATTTTGACGTCAAAATCGGCATTGCAGCCCGCGTTCCGCCATACAATTAATTTTCTAGTGGAATTTCGAGCTATTTCGAACCTCTTTGATCGAATTTGACGATCTAACGTACAGGAGAAGTACTCCAAGTGCGACGCTCAGATTTTGATGAAACTTGGCACAAACTTAGAATAATTTTTTCTAAGATATATGCGAGAATCCTAGCTCGCGCTTTGCAGAAACAACCGAGATTTTTAGATCGAAAGCCGGCCAAAATGTTGGACTTTTGCCGAATTTTGGCACGAAAAGTTTCATGCCTATTTCTACCGTAAAGGATAATGTTTCTACAAAAAATCAAATATTTGCCGCACCCAACTGCCAAAGTTATGGCCAAAAGCGTTTTTCTTACTGACCGCTCTCCACGTTTAGCGTGCTCTCTCGGCGGCAAAAATCGTTCGATATCTCGGCGGCGCCCGCAAAGCGCAAGCTAAAACTTTCAGGAATTGATATTTGGTTTATGGCCAACGTGTGTGCAAAATTTAAAGAAAATCTGAGCGTCGCACTTGGAGTACCTCCCCTGTTAATTTGACCGGCGTTGCTGATCAAATATGATTGGTCAAGTCGATTGGAAAGACTGGCCGGATTTCATCGAAAAGATAATCAAAATCTTCCGTTGGTGTTATGAGCCAAATCTGATTGCTCGTCTTGCCCGAATCTGAAAAGTCGTGTTGAGTAAACTGTTCAGTATGTCGGGGAAAAAATAACGGCGGGCCGTCGCAGCAAAATGTTTCGCCTCATCGAAAAAAGGGTGCAGTCGCGCATCAAATCCCCAGCCGCGGCTAGCTATCGCAAGGCGATGATCGGCGATTTGTCACGACTTAGCTATGAGTCGTGGTGTAAGATGGTCCTTAACTCGCCCGCTACTACTAGTATTCACTACCTAACCCGGAGACGCAAACTAGAGGACTCTGGCAATCAAACTGTGAACTCACGATATTGACTCCAGGCGATGTGACCATAGACAAATCAATAGACAAATAGTAAATATAGTAGACTTTATTGGACACCAACCGCATAAGCGGGAAAAGACAAAGCACAAATTAATACTCCCATAATTGGCGATTTCTCTTCCTTTTACACCAATTTGTCGGTCATTCCGTGGGAATATGCGAATTCGCATGCGAAGTCGTGACAGATTCCAAGGCGCGAATTTGGCTCAACAGTCACACTACCCCTTCTCGTAAAGTCGCTAGAGTGACTTTTGCAACGTGCACTGTGAGAAAACAAAGCTTCAGTTTGCACCGTGCAGTTCCTTGCTTTTTGCACCGTGCAATAAGCTTCCTTGGGTTGTCGCTCGAACCCTGACATTTTTGCATAGTGTAAACTTCTAAGCTCACTCCACTTTTTGTGAACGGACTGGTAGTAGAAGCGGCATATTTAAAAAAAAAAATAAAAAAATTGCATTTGTAAAATTTTTTAATGTTTTGTTTTGAACTATAGTTTACAAAAATCCCCTTAAAATTCTTTACACTGCATTTCTGTATACCATAATCTCCATAAAAAACACCGTTTCTCTCTCTCGATGCACAGAGATCGGCACGTCGGACTCTAAAGAGTCTTATACAAAAAAAACTCTGCATTCCGAGCATAAATTACAAAACATAATAGCGTTGTGTTAAAATTGAAGAGTTCCGGGTTGAAATCCATAAGCTTCTTTGGTCCTTTTGTCCTCACTATAATTTTATTTATTCGAAAAAAGCTGGCCTTTTATGACCCAAAGTGGATGTTATTTACGAGAAATGGATCACGTGAAATTAGTGAAAACACGGAATTTCGACTATTATGCGATGATTTACTTGTACATTTGAGAAACTTTATTTTTTTTGGGATGATTTTGCATAAAATATCATTGAAATTTTACCGTTAAATTACGGAATTTTTGCAATTTTTTGTGTATTATTATTAGTGGTAAAGAATTTGCTGAAAAAATTATTCAAAGGCCAGACCGCTTCATGTGGTCAAGTTTGGTAACATCGCTTCAGCGGCTTTGCAAACCGACCAAGACTGATCAGATTTAGCCCTGTTGCCAAATCATGACCGGTAGTTTTGTCTAAAATTGACAGTTCCTTTTGTTGGCCAAGTACTATTTATTTAGTTGGCCAACTCTGAACCTTTAAAACAGCCAAATCTTATCAGTAATGCTGATCAAATATGACCGATCGTTTTGCCCAACCAGTTAATTTAAACTGGTCAAATCTGAGCGGTCAGACAGGTGATTTGGTCCGATGTGGGCCCTGGGTGAAGATAGGCATGGCTCACGTCAAGAAAAAAGTGATAAAACAAGGAATCTCGGATCATTGATTTTTGACGAAATGTCGCCGAATTATCGAGTCACAAAAGAAAACTTTCCCAGAGAAAAACTTGTCTTTTTTGAGAAAAATATTTTTTCGAAGAAAAAAATAATTTTTCGGACTCGATAATTCTGTGGCACTTTGAAAAAAATCAATAATCCAAGATTCCTTGTTTTTTTCAATTTTCTGAAAAAATTTTTTGACGTGTGTGTCGAAAGGCCCAACAACCCAGTAACGAGACGAGACGCTCAAGAGTCAAGCGATTTATTCAGTGGAAAGGAGGCCCTTTTATAGGGAAGCCCCACGTAGGAAAGTACAATCAAATTTGAATAAATGTAGATCGTTCCTCGTGGGAAAATCCTCGAAGCTCGATCGTTCCGCCTCACAGTGTGGCGCCGGGCCGGGCTTTCCAAAATTTTTCGGCCCGGCTCCGGGCTTTGATTATCAGGCCAGGCCAGCCATGCTTAGGTGAAGAGGGCACTTGAGCGAAGAGGACTTGGCGAAGAGGACACCTTGAGGTAAAAAAGATATGGTAAGGGGGGGCGGGGGGGGGGCAAAGGCGGATTTTTTAAGAATGATTTTTTTGGTTTGCTATTGGTTTGACAAAGAAAACTTTAAAAAAAATCCGCCTTGGTCCCCCTCACCATATCATTTTTTCCCCCTCAAGGTGCCCTTTTCGGACCCAGTACATGTATGTATAATTGAACGGCCGAATTTCCAATTATATACATTCGCTGAAGACAAACAAAAGATTAACATGAACGTTTAGATTATAAACAATAACTCCACAAAAAGAATGACTCTTTTCTAAACATTGCCATAAAAGCTTATCGCATTTCACCTCCAATTCTGGGGAAATCCCATTTCTGTTAGTTTTGTTACAGTAGCCCGCTCAGCTGACCTTTTCAGATAATTTGGCCGTAGACAAATAAATAATAGGCTTATGACCGAAAAATTAATCTGCGATCAAAGGCAGACATTTGGAGCTTTTCTTAAATTATAGGGCTTAATTTGACCTGTTTTATGAATTTTAATTTTACGGCACTGTAAAATTAACGTGTCATAAGGTGGGCCTGTAAAATTATACTGCAAAACTTGAATAGAACTATAAAATTAGTTGTAAAATAAATTTAAGAGGTACTGTAAAATTACTGGTAAGTTATGGATTTTTTTTGCAAATAGACGATAGATCACTAAATTAATATTCAGAGTCCACAAGAATAGATTTGTTAAAATTAGGGCTTCAAATTGCCCAATAATTAATCGAAAATTCAAGATCTTTTGTTTTCCGCACAGTGCAATTTTTCGATTTTTTTTTTGCACGGTGCGAAATTTTTTCTTGTCTAAATTTTTTGCACTGTGCGAAATTTTTGGCCTAAATTTTTTGCATTGTGCATTTTTAATATTTCGCACAGTGCAAAACTTACTTTTTTTTGCAATTTTTCGCACAGTGCGAGATTTCCTGACTGATTTTTTTTGCACAGTGCGAAATTTTTTGACCTAAATTTTTCGCACAGTGCACTCTTTTCACATTTTTTCGCACAGTGCAAAACTTTTCTTCCTTGCAATTGTTCGCACTGTGCGAGATTTTAGGGCTGATTTTTCTCGCACAGTGCGAAATTTTTTGACCTAAATTTTTCGCACAGTGCGATTGTTTCGCATTTCTCGCACAGTGCAAAATTTTTCTTTCTTGCAATTTTTCGCACTGTGCGAGAATTCCCTACTGAACTTTTTCGCACAGTGCAATTTCAAATAAGGATCGGTACGTATTTTCAGAGGGATTTTTGCTGAAAACACGTCATGTTTTAGAGGATGTTTTGCCTTATAACGCTTAGAATGTCGTCATAAATTTTTTTGAGGAATAAGGCGGGATTCGCATCACTATACGTCGCGAATTTCCCCCCAAAACATTGTAAAGACGGGCTCGGAAGAAAACAAAAAACAAACGGTCTTTTACAGTAATTTGATGCAAAAATATACAACCATTAAAAATGATCGATCTGAACCACTCGAAAGGGCAAATCTATGACAATAATTTTGGTAATGGATTTTATCGGAATTAATATGTCTGGCTCAAAACAATTAAAAATATTTTTTTGGTCAAATTTTGGTAAAAAAATTCAGGCTAGAGTTTTACGCCGAAAAGTAAAAATTTTTAGGTCGGAAGGTTAAAAATTTGAGTCGAAAAATTGTCCCTTGGCATTCTAGATCCAGCTCCCGAAATTGACCGCATATATTTATTTTTCTGCGGAAGAAAAAATTTTTTCTCTGCACGGTGCAATGAAAAAACTGTAAAATAACTGAACTGTGTGACGACAAGACCCCACTTTTTACGTCAAAAAAATTGTCTTTAGGGTCATCAGATTCAATTACTGAAATTGACCAATTTTACCCCAAAATAACTGCAGGATACTGTAATTTCGGCCGGTTGGGTCAAGTGTTTCTCTCTTTTTTTTCGTTTTACATATACGAAACATATATATCAAATGTAATAAAAAGCCCCAAAATCTGTCTAAAGCAAACCTACAGAACTATTTTTAATTGGGTCAAGTGTTTCTTTGAAGGTTAAAATGTCTTTGGGTCAAGTGTTTCCCTCAAAGCTTTTGTTCAATTTTTCGAGTAAAAAATCGCTGTGATATTCGTTAGTTTCAATTTTAGACGCTCTCCCGAGATATACGATCGTAGGCGAGAGATTGAGCAAGATGCGGAGAGAGGTCACAGAGAAAAAGACATTTTGGCCATATTTTTGCCAGTTTCGTGGGGAAAAGTTTATTTTTTTGTGGAAACATCACTCTCTACATTAGAATTAGGCATAAAATTTTTTATGGCAAATTTTACAAAAAATTTTGAAATTTTCGCCAACTTTCAGACCAAAAACTTCGATTTTTTCTGGAAGGCGCGATCAAAAAATCTCACCGATTTTTTTAAAATTTATGCGAATTTCCACCAAGTTTCTTCATAATTTGAAGACCCACAGTAACCCTTGTTTACTCGTATTTCCACGTTTCTCAATTTTCGAAACTATGACGCCAAATTTTCCCCACAAATTACAGTGTTTCTTCAGAAATTTCGAATTAAAAATTTCAATTTTTATTCGCATCATCCAATTATAGCATTATTGGTGTTGTCCGTACCAACAATTTCACCGCATTAAAAGCGGGGGACGCCCAAGAACGATTACTTTTTAGAGGCTTATTGAATTGTATCCTCTTTAAACAGTAAAAGAACACTGAAAAAGAAAAAGTTTGAAAAATTGCAAAAAACCGATTAGGGTGATTTTTGAATTAAAAACGATTTTGAAATTTTTCAAAAAAACAAAAAATTTTTCATTTTGAAAAAAAATTTTTTTTTTTAAATACTCCAAGTGCAACGCTCAGATTTTCTTTAAATTTTGCACACACTTCATGCATAGACTACATATCAATCCCTGAAAGCTTTAGGTCGCGCTTTGCAGGGAGAGCCGAGATATTGAACAATCTTTGCGTCCGAGCGAGTACGCGAAACGCCCCAAAAAAGTCGCAGTTTTGATGACTTTCAATCTGTGTACTATCGGTCTGTCGGGAAAATAACGGCGGATCGTCGCAGCAAAATGTCTCGCCTCGCCGCTGTCGCGCACCAAATCCCCAGCCGCGGCTTGCAGTCGCAAAGCGATGATGGGCGATTCGGAGGCGCGACGATCCGCCGTTATTTTCCCGACAGACTGATAGTCCGTTCGTAAAGTCGCTGGAATGATTTTGGCGGCGTGCAATGTGCAAAAAAACTCAGGGTGCGAGCGACAGCCCCAAAAAGCCTATTGCACTGTGCAAAAAGCCAAAAATTGGACAGTGCAAAGTGAACTTCCGGTTTCGCGGAGTGCATGTCGCCGAAAACATTCCAGCAACTTTACGAACGGCCTAGTAGAAGTCTCGGTCGTTTCTGCAAAGCCTTTTAAAAAAATCATTCTATTATAAATTTGCGCCAATTGTCATCAAAACCTCAGCGCCGCATTGAGACTTCAATTCAAGCTTTTGAAGAATAAAATGCGCTTCATAAGCTGGACAAAGTTATAACCCATTTTTTAAATTGCTGTACCTTTTTTGTTTGTCAATAGAAATGCGTGATATTTGGCAACAATATGCATTCGACCACTAAAAATGTTGTGTGAAAAAATTATTTCGAGAAGTTTCCACAATTTGGAAAAAAATTGAAAAAACCAAATTTCAACTTTTTTTCAAATTGTGGAAACCTCTCGAAATAATTTTTTCACACAACATTTTTAGTGGTCTAATGCATATTGTTGCCAAATATGACACATTTCTATTGGCAAACAAAAAAGTTACAGCAATTTAAAAAATGGATTATAACTTTGGTCAGCACCGCGGTTCAATTGTCATTGGGAATTTTATACTGCGGGGTTCCTTACAATATTTATATTTTCTGAAAGCCGGCTTTTTGCTCTACTGCCATACCAAATTTCAGCCTTCCAGCGCGAATGGCTAGCGAGATATGGAGAGAAAAAGCAGGCGCATTCCGAAAAAACTTGAAAAAAAGTCGCGGAGACCGGTTGTGTCCCAAATGTACAGAATGCCGTGCACCGTAGTCGTACTTATAAAACAAACGATTTTTAAAACATTTATTATCTTTTTTACTTCAAAATCCGACTATTCAAATTTTTCATCCTCAAAAATGTCCTTTTATTTATTCCGTTATACAGAACGGATGCTAATTAAATTTAGATTTCACCCCATTATTTATCCGATTCTCCGGCTGTCACAAGTTTTCCCACCGTATTTTCGGGGGATTTGTGCCAAAAATTGCGGGGAAATAATGGGCCCAAACGACAAATCGGCTCGGGCCAAATGTCTCATGGCCCTGTTTTTCAATTATTTTTACAATTATCCGAGCTCCTTATTCGGCGCTGCGGAACGCCCAAAAATGGGAGTGGCACTCCCATTTTTGGGGTTGAAGACCTCGGGGGGCCGAATCGAATTTGCGGCGGATATAAACGAGCACCGGCGGGCACCAGCTCCAAATTGAGCGCATTTGCCGACCGATTTTCGGTATTTTCCCCCCGGCAAAAAATGGGATTCTAAAAAAATGGGATTTTTCGAGGAACCGTTCGTTTTTCTGGAGGTCTGGAGGCTTCCGACTTCCTGATTAGCCAAGTCTCGGTTTGCAAAGTTACTATGGATATCCGGAACGCCTTAGGGCTTCTGGAATTTCATTGTTTTAAAGTTTGTTCTTGCAAAAAATCCATTTTCAACCAAAAAAACTCAGATTTTTGGCGAAAACCCCATTTTTCTTGTAAATACCCTTAGGCAATCACCGTAATTTTTGATCAATCAACCTTTTCATGTCTTTATCTTGTATTGGACATCAAAAATACTTCATTTTAAAATGATTTTTAGCATAAAAAAACTGATTTTTATGTTATTGTAGACCAACATTTCTGGACTGTGCAAAAAAATCTAAAAAAAATTTTTTTTGAATTTCCGTAATTTTATCGAATAAATCGACCATTATTACATGATTCAACTAAAAATCGTGCTTTCAGCCTTCCAAAAATGCAATTTGAACTAGTTTTGACACTTTTGATGGCCTTCTCATGCGCCGCTCGCCACCATCACCACAGGCGACGGCAACATCGCACACCGGGCCATCTGCATTCCACAACAGACTCTCTGTTCGCCGACAAATTCGTGGTGCTTCGGCCGACGAATGTGAACTCGAAATCGGCCGAAATTTCCGAGACAAATTGGGCCTCTCAGGAGACGAATAAGGTAAAATCAGGCTTAACTTGATCGTATTTTATATTTAAAATAGATCTACAATTATGACAGAGGGCCTAAATTTGAAAATTCGGGGGCTTTTACAAAGTCTTTAGTTGTTTTTTTGGCAGTTTTGACATCAATTTTTCGTCATGGATAATATATTGACGTCAAAAAATTTCGAATTTTATGGCCTGTAAATTTTTGACACGGTCTATTACAACGCCACAGGGCCCGTAAAAAAATATTTTTAATTTTAATCAACTAACGCTAAAATACGAGCCATTTTTACTAAGCTCCGCCCACTTTTCCACTATAATGTCCCATAACTCGGAACTAACAAACAAAAAATTTTTTTTTAAATTACTATAGGCTGACACAACCACAGTAAAGATGCGAAATTCAAAATTTCATAAAATCTAAAAATATTTTTTTGCCTATCACATCAGATATCAAGTATAATATAAATTTTCCAATATACACCTCAAGTTTGGACCCAGAATCTAATCTCAAACAAATTTCAGATCCTCTTCGACCATCTACTCTTCCCGCTAATTCCAATTGAGAACGCCGGCATCCACAAAACCGAGTTATCGCCCGGAAAACACGCGATTAAATTCCAAACCGACGCCGAATTGAGTATAAATCAGCCGCCGAATGACATAAAATCGGCGTTGAAGAAGATTCTGATGAGGATAGACAACTGAAATCTACAGTTCGAGTGGTCTATTCTAGAAACGTGCCAAAAACGTGCAAAAAATCAATATTATATCATGTAAAGGAGAATATTGAAAATAAATTAGTGCATAGTTGATCGTTTGGATCCTGAAGTTGAGTCTCACATACTCATACAGTCCCAAAAAAGTTTTCTAGCAATTTTTTACTCGAAAAATACAAAAAAACTATGAGGGAAACACTTGACCCAAAATTTTTTAATCTTCAGAGGAAGACTTGACCCAATTACGATTGGTTCTGTAGGTGTTTTAGAGAGGTTTTGCTGCTTGTTAAATATTAAACATAACACATTTCGTAAAAAAATAAACAAAAGCATTGAGGGGAACACTTGACCCAAAATTTTTTAAATCTTCAGAGGAAGACTTGACCCAATTACGGTTGGTTCTGTAGGTGTGTTTAGAGATAGTTTGCTGCTTTTTATTAAACCTAACATATTACGTAAATAAAAATCAAAAAAAATGAGAGAAACACTTGACCCAGCAGACCGAAATTACAGTATCCCCCAGTTATTTCGGAGGAAAATCGGTCAATTTCAGTAATTGAATCTGAAGACCCTAAAGACAAGTTTTTGACGCAAAAAGTGTGGTCTTGTCGTCACACAGTGCAGTAAATCTACAGTTTTTTTATTGCACTGTGCGGAGAAAAAAAGTTTTCTTGCCTATATCTCTCCGATTTTTCTGCGGAAAATTTTGATTTTTTGTAGAAATACAGTAATCTTCACTGCAAAACTATCACCATTTTTTTAGATCTGACAATTATGATATTTCAAAAATATCGAGATTTTAAAATTTCTGGTCCCAAAAGACTCGGAAATCATAAAATACGACGTAAAACTCCGGAATGCGTCGTATGGCAATAATTCTAATAATGGATATTGTCGGAATTAAAACGTCTGGCTCAAAAAACGCAAAATTTTGTGATGAAATTTGGTGAAAATTGAGATTTTGAATTTTCTAACAAGGCGTCGGCAAAAGTTTTAATAAAAACCCTTTTTTAGCGTGTAAATTCTTGCCGACGCCTTGTTAGAAAATTCAAAATCTCAATTTTCACCAAATTTCATCACAAAATTTTGAGATTTTTTGAGCCAGACATTTCAATTCCGACAGCATTCATTACCAAAATTATTGTCATACATCATCTTTATTCAATTTTTAATCGTTTCTTGGCGCATTAAATTACTTTAAATCTGTTTGTTTTTGTTTTTTTTCGGACAACAACTTTTACAATGTTTTTGTGGAAAGTTCGCGGCGTATCTTGATGAAAATCCCGTCGTAACTCTCGAAAATTTTTTAATGACGTTATTCTAAGCATTTCCAAACCTCGAAAACATCAAAAATTTTCGTTTTGATACCAAAAACATCTAAAAATAATTTTTTTCTCAAAAAATGCCTAAAATAAGGTCAAAACGACTAAAATAAATCAAAAAATCGTCTAAAATACGACCTGATCGCCGCAAAAATCTCTTTTCTTTCCTAAAATTCATCCCAATCTCCATCTTACCCTTTAAAATTCATAATTTTCCCGATAAATCCCCCCATTCACCTACTACAATATAAAAAAATTTCCATCATCCAAAATTCACAATTATAACATTCATTTCTGGACTATAAAATTTCTAAAATACAATTTTAAATTTTTCAAAAATCGTTGAAGACAGTTTGAAAGTTAGACGGTCCGTTACGACGTTTGTTGGACTAGGAATGACAATATAATTTCAAATTCACATATAAAATTTTTCGGAATTCTGATATACAATCTACAGTAGTAATTTTTGCGATAAAAAAAAAATTTGATTAGTCAAAAAAATTCGCACTGTGCAAAACAATCGAAAAAATTGCACTGTGCGAAAAAGTTCGAAAAATTTGCACTGTGCAAAAAATTTCCGCCAAAAATTTTTGCACCGTGCGAAAAAATCAGGAAAATTTTTGCACTGTGCGAAAAATTTAGACCAAAAAAATTTCGCACCGTGCAAAAAAATCGAAAAAAATTCCAAAAAATTGCACTGTGCAAAAATTTAGGCCAAAAATTTCGCACTGTGCGGAAAAAATCAAAAAAATTTCGCACAGTGCAAAAAATTTAGTCCAAAAAATTTTTGCACCGTGCAAAAATACGAAAAAATTGCACTGTGCAAAAAATTTAGGTCAAAAATTTCGCACTGTGCAAAAATAAAAAATCTCAAATTTCAATAAATTATTGGGCAAGTTGAGGCCCAAATGGTTAGACGTATATTCTCAAAGACTCTGAATATTAATTTAGTGACCTATCGTTTGCTTTCGAAATCGTTCCAGGCATCGTTGAGTTCGGTGAAAATGCACCGTGCCAATTCTTCGTGGGGTTTCCCGGTTTGTTTGTCTGGATGGACGACTAGGCAGGCTTTCCGGTAATACTTTTTGACCTGAAAATTTTCGTCGTCAACTATATTTTTAACCAAAAAAATAAAAAAAAAAATTAAAAATTATATCAAAATTTTTTGCCAAAAATGGGCAAAAAAATTCCAAAAAGTTGTGAGCTGCAAAAACAGTATTTATAAACGTCTTATACACCTTTAATTATCAAAAATTCAAAAAATCTAAAAAAATTTTAAATATGCAAATTTTTGAAAATTTGCATAATTAACATTTTCACGTCTTAAAACTTCGAAAAACACCTTTCAACAATAAAAAAATGCAATTTTTTCTAAATTTCCCAAAAATTTTCAAAAATTTGCATATTCAAATTTTTCTCAAAAATATAGATTTTATGCAAATTTTGATGCCCAAAGCCGTTCATACAACATAAAAGTTCCAAATTCACCAACTCACATTAACATCCGTTAGTAATTCGCCCATTCCGGGCTGATTCCAATTGTGTTGACCTTCCCATAAGACGTCATTTAGGGAGCCCAAAAGTGCTCGGATGTTGCGTTCTTTGCCCTTGGTCCAGTCTCGGATCTACAATTTACGTTTTTCGACATCAACAACTCTTTTTTAGACCAGTAAATTAAAAAAAATTTTTTTTTACTTTTTTCTCAAGTCGTATTTTATTTCCAAAAATTTTTTGCTCCGTTTGAATAAAGCGTATTTTACCTCTCAATGTCTTAAATCAAATTTAAAACCAAAAATTTCCATCAAATTTCTCCAAAAAAACAAAAAAAAAATCAAAAAATTTAAAAGTTCAAGTCCCCGATTGAGCCGTTCTTTGCTCGAGGGCAAAGAACGGGCCCGATGCATTCGAGCGATCGTATCGAACGCTCTCACCACGCACTGCGGCTAGACGGGAGGGGTGCATTCAGTCGCTCAAAATAGCTGACTTTTCCGGGGTTCACGTGAATTGCCCGAGGCAAATTCAGCTGAAAAATATTTTCGTGGCGGGGACGGGGAAGACCGTAGGAAATGAAAGCTTTGGGAATGGTCTATGATTCCGACAAATCGAACTTTCATCAAGTTTACGGAAAAATTTTTGACGAGCAAAACTTTGGATATTATCCATGACAAAAAGTGATGTTTTGAACCAAACTTTTAGCTTCATGTTTGAAAATCAATGTATGCCTAGGCTCCTGAGGCCATAATCTCTCAAAACCACTTTCATTTTTCCTAAAATACGAGTCAAATTTTCATTTTTTTCAAAATTTTCCCAAACCCTCCAAATTTTCTGTTCAAACGATTTTTTCTCAAAAATCCCCCGAGGCAGTGGCTCTGAATTTTTATACATCACACTCTACACGTCCTAATCTTCCATTCTACATCAAAAAATCCAAATTTCAAATTGCTTTTTAACCTAAAATCGCCAATTTTGCCTTATTTTAGGTAACAAATTAATATTTTTCCAAAATTTATCCCTCAAAACACCTTTATATACCAAATTATAGCACTAATCTCCTCCAAAAAGCCTTTTTACACCAATTTTACTTCATTTATCCACAATCAAAAAAAATTTTTTCAAAAAACCCCAAAAATTTTCCAAAATTATCAGAAAAAAGTACCGTAATCCCCATCAAACCCACAATCGGAACTTCCTTTATGATAAAAATTCTCTGTGCTTTGATTTTCACGTGAATTCAAAAGGTCATTCTTACTAATTTTTATATTTTTAGGGTCTTTTTGCATCGGAGTGCATTATCGGAACGTTTCAAACGGTCAAAAAAGACTTTTTTTAGCCGTTCTTTACTCGGTATGATATCAAAAATCGCACGTATTCTTACATAAGGCATCCTAATGGTAATCTACAACCATTTTTACTGTCTATTTCAAACTTTTTTTTTTCAAAAATTACCCAAAAAATGCCAAAAATTTCAAAAAATCTCAAATTTTTCCTACTGTAATATAAAAGTTGACCTTCTTAGGCCGTCCATAATTCCACTAGAGCTCTATTCTCTCCATAACCACCTCAAAACCCTCTATTTTTGATCGAAAACACCAAATTTTTTCCAAACATCACCTACTACAATATAATTTTTTCTCCCAATTTCTTTACAATCCTTCGTCATCCACAGTATGCCTCTCTAGCAAACTTTTAAGCCCATTTCTTGTTTTTTCCGGGATCAAAATTCCTCTTTTTACAAAAAAAAATTCGTCTCAGACACCGTTTCAAAAAAATCTCATTTCCCAAAAGCACATCGCTTGTTTGTTTGATCTCAACTACCATATTTTATCCTCAATCCCTTCCTAATTCTTGCAAAACCTTAATTCTCAAATGCATTCATCCTACTCGGAATTTTAAGCCAAATCTTATTTTGGTCCAAAATCGTAAAGAATGACTAATTTATGTCGCCAAAAAAAGTCGTAACACTTCCTAATGGACGCTAATAATCCCGTGATATCACAATATTTGTCAACACGATCTATTTTGAGCCAATTTCCGGCGGGATTTTACCAAAATTACCAAAATTAAGAGAGGTGTCTACTACAATATAAATTTTTACTCAGAAATCTGGAAAGGTTCCAAATTTTCTTTTACCACATCACAAGATAGACTATTTAGAAATTTTTCGACTGCTTTTTCACTCTACAACATCAACAAAAAAAATTTTCTATCAAAATTTTTCGAGATGACCTACTACAATATAAATTTTTGCTCAGAAATCTCAAAAAGTTCCAAAAAACATTTAACCACATCACAAGATAGTCTAATTAGAAATTTTTCGACTGCTTTTTCATGCCACAACATTATCAACAAAAACTTTCTATCAAATTTTTCCGAGATGACCTACTACAATATAAATTTTTACTCAGAAATCTTGAGAGGTTCCAAAATTTTTTTTACCAAATCACAAGATAGACTATTTAGAAATTTTTTGTCTACTTTTTCACTCTACAATATTACCAGAAAAAATTTTCCATCAAAATTTTCCCAAGTGACCTACTACAATATAAATTTTCGCCCAAAAATGTCCAAAATCAAAATCTCTCGTTATTTTCTTCTATCCCATTTCAAAATACACTCTTCTATCCCTATTTGTTCCAAATCTCAGCCTTATAACTATTATTATACACTAATATTTTACCTTGATTTGATTGGGGTCCATGTTCTGGACCTCTTCCTCTCTTTTCAGGTCCGCCAAAGTTCGCTGACTGTTCACTTTGCTGGAAGCGAATCCCTGTTGACTCAAAATGTCGTCAAATGCATTCTCTCCAAATTTGGGGCCCATTCCTTGGGCTGGCTGGAAGAACGAGCCGAATCCTTTTTGCTGACTTTGGGCTGGTGTGGAGCGGCCGGAATTGTTCAAAGATTTCGGTGGTTCCGATGGTTTTAGGTCCGGCGGGCCTCCGTTTGCGGCTAGGAATTCGGCGAACGGATCGAAGGCCTTTTTCTCCAGGTTCGGGACCGAGGAATTGCTGCGCATTTGGCTCGGGTTTTCGCTGGGCCAATCGCCGAGTAAGTCGGCGGCGGAGTGATGATTCTGTGGTTGGGACGGGCGGGGAATGGCTGAAAAAGATTTTTCATACCTTGAAATGTGTTAAAAAGTTATTGAAAAGTTCTGAAATTCCCTAAATTGACCAAAAAATCAATTTTTTTTATTAAGATGGCAAGTACAATATAATTTTTTGAACCCAAAAATTTAATTAACCAAGTTTTTAACCCGTATTTTACCCTCAAATTAATCCAACCTTAACAAAAAATCACACAAAATAGAAGAAAAAATATTTTTTTTGTCAAAAATGCCTACTACAATATAAAAAATTGCTCAAAAACAGTAAAACATACACCTTTAAAGATATTTCTTTTTGCGTATTTAACCAAAAAAACATCATAGCCCCCTACCAAACACCAAATTTGGTCAAAAACCCCAAAAAAAATTTTCGTCTATACCTACTACAATATAAAAAGCTTCTGAAAAATAACCAAACCACCTCAAAACTTTCAACGCAGCCCGTATTTTACCCTAAATTTACCTATATTTAATTCTACATACCTCAAAATTCATCAAGACATCAAAAACCGGCTTAAAATCGCATTTTTTGATCAAATTTTGCCTACTACAATATAAAAAAAATTTTCAAACTGCAGAATTTTTTGTCGAAAAATAGATCATTCCCCGTATTTTACCTCAAAAACCATCTTTTTCCAAACCAAACCGGTCTAAACTTTCAAAAAATCCACAAAAATCTCAAAAACTTGCCATCAAACAGGTCGAATGGGTCATTTTCGAGTTTTCTCGTTGGTTTTTCTTCAACCTTTGGCTGTTCTTTTTTCTCATAATCAAATTTGTACTTGTCCGCTTCTTCATCGACGAATTGGGCCTCTTCCGAGACCCGGATTCCGTACATTCTTTCGTAGTCCACATCAGTTAATTTCTGTTCTTTTCGAGATTCGGTGCGATTTGGTGGGACCGGAGGTCTTTCTGGTTGTTCATGGTGCTTTGGGACGGGTGGGTTCTACAAGAATAGAGAAAAAATACAAAAAAAATAGGAACAATTATATTACACTAGGCAAAATTGTAAAAAATTATTTGAAAATTCGACTTGTCGTATTTTACAATCCCTGAAAAATGACAAACCCACATTCACAGGGCATTTCCAACCTATCTAAAACAATTCTTCGTCGAAATTTCACAAAAATTATATTACACTAGACAAAAATTATAAAAAAATTGCAAAATATGTGGGTTCTATCTAGCTCAAACACTTCAAAAAAGCCTAAAAAACAATTTAGGCTTCATTTACAAGCTTTTTCAACTCATTTCTGCCTTACAAATCAACAAAAATTATATTACACTAGATAAAAATTTGTTAAAATTTTACTCAAAACCCCTTCTCAAAATGCTCAAAAAGACTAATAATTGAATAAAAATACCACGTACTAACTTTCCAGCTCAATTTCATTTCAATTTTCATCAAAAATTATATTAGACTAGATAAAAAATTTCAAAATGTTTGCTCAAACCCCACCTCAAACTGCTCTAAAGGGCTTATTATTGAATAAAAATACCATTTACTAACTTTCCAGCTCAATTTTATTTCAATTTTCATCAAAAATTATATTACACAAGACAAAAAATTGTTAAAATTTTACTCAAAACCCATCTCAAAATTTCCAAGAATCCTATAATTAAATAAAAATACCATTTACTAACTTTCCAGCTCAATTTCATTTCAATTTTAATCAAAAATTATATTACACTAGACAAAAAAATTGTTAAAAATCTACTCCAAAACCCATCTCAAACTGCCCAAAAAACCATATAATTAAATAAAAATACCACATACTAATTTTCCAACCCAATTTCATTTCAATTTTCATCAAAAATTATATTACACTAGGCACTAACCTCAAAAAATCTCCAAAAATCAAGTCAATCCCAAGCGATTCAACCTCAAACTTCCCAAAAATCTTTATTACACTCTTACTCACCGTTTCAGCTCCAAAACTGCCAATGGCATTCTGTTCTTGTTGAATTGCAGCAGCTCTTTGCTCCTCCGAAAACAGTGAAGTAGATTCTTGCTGAGCGGCCGACCATCCCAAGGAGGAGAAGAAATCATCGGCTGGGGGTTTCTGAGGTCGTTGGGGCTTCTCTTTGACCGGTGAGGGCTTTTGGCCGAATGGATTTGACAAAAATGGATCTTCCGGGACTGATTTCTTGGCTTTTGGAGGTGCCGCAGGCCTCGGTGGTGGTGGGCGGGAGGGTTGGTCGACTGAAAATTGTGATTTATATAAAAACATAGTGTATTCTGGCGTATTTTAACAAAAAAATCAGATATTCTATCAAAAAAAAATGTCATGGATAATATAATTTTAGTCAAAAAATATTTCTTCTTGATAAAAAATGCATTCTAAAAGCCAAACTAAAATTTTAAAAACAATATACAACGTTCCACGGCCCGTATTTTACTCAAAACATCAAATTTTTCCCCAAACTTCAATATCCCCCATGGATAATATAAAATTTCGTCCAAAACCTCAAATTTTCTCTAAAACCCTGGCCAAGATTACTTTTAAATCGAAGAAAATAGCATTATCTTCATATTAAACCATTAGACTCTTTATATTTTACCCTCTCGCACGCTGTTCTAACCAAAAAACATAAATTTTTTTCATGGATAACATCAAATCTAGTCCAAAACCTAATTTTTTCTCCATTAGCATATCCCAATCCTCTTTTAAATAATAAATTATGTCTTTACCGGGCGTATCAGGCAACACTCCTTCCACTGGAGCTGCAGTTTGATCCACTTCGAGGACCACAGCGATCGCCTCCAGCCGTTCAAGCACATCTCCAATTGTTGGTCGATTGTAGGGGTCCGGTTGGAGCAAACTCTCTGAAAATTAGAAATAAATAACTTCAAGATATCTTCCATCTACTAAATACTTCAATTCCGAGATCTTTCATCCTCTTCCTTACCAATAACCGGATGGAAAATTGAGTATGGGGTCTCTTCTTGAGGCAACGAATATTTGGCGTTGATGATCCGCAACTTGGCGCTATCCTCGAAGGGATGTTTTCTGTAGCAAATATAGGCAAGAATGCAGCCCAAGGCCCATAAATCTTGGGACGGACCGATTGGGAAGTTCTGATATGTGTCTAAAATCTCGGGGGCTCGATACATTGGAGTTGTGAATTTTTGCATCTGAAAAAAGCCATTTCAGTTACATTCTTGATCCCAAAAGACTGTGTGAAGCATCAAGATTGCTCATTTTAACCTACATCTTCTTCCAGTTGAGTTCTCTTCAGCACCGACCATGAATCGTCGGGTCGATAAACACTTGTGGTGGCTGACCCAAAATCACATAATTTTACATGCCCTTTGGCGTCGAATAGGAGATTTTCAATCTGAAAAAGATCAGACATATCATCTTCTTGCTCTATCAATCATTTCAACCATCAAATTCACCTAAACTTCGAAGAAAAAACCAAAATATTGCACTTGCCTTCAGATCCCGATGAGTTATTGGTGGAGATCGGTCGTGCATGCAATTTACAGCCGAGCAAACTGCGTAGAATATCTGCACAACTTGTTTGGCGGTCAGAGCATCCTTTTGGATGAGGTCGTTCAGCGCTCCGCCTGGGCAATATTCAGTTAACAGGAGATATTCGACTCGTCCGTTCTGCTTGATTTGTCCGGCTCCGACAAATTTAAGTATACAGGGATGTCCCGAGAGCTAGAAGAGATAATATTAGACTCCAAACTTCCATAAAATCGAGTAAAAAAGGTAATTTTTGACCAAAAATTATATTATACCTCTTTCAGAAAATTAATCTCTTGAATAATAGCTTCAGCCGCATCGGCATCGCATGCCATCAACCTCTTCAACGCATACCACCTTCCTTCAGAGTCTTGACAAGAAAACACCAAGGCAAATCCACCTAAACATCAAAAAAATTAATTTATATTATACTTGACATACCTTCCGCCAAAAGCGAGCGAATCTTGAATTTCTTCCCGCCAACTTCAACTGACGTTCCAACTAGAGGATGATCAAGACCTCCGGCACCTGGACCAGTCGCAGATTGCCCGATATAGTCCATGGCGGACTTGAAAACACCCGAAATTGCACCACTTTGAACTTTACTGGCGGCATCTGATAAAGCGGCCTTGGTTCGGTCCAAATTGTCTTTCCCGACTAGCGAGGAGAAGAGGGAAGAAAACTGAAAAGAATTGGCATCAGTTTCGGTAAAAATCTTAGAGATTCGGACCTTGTTTTAGGCCAATAACATTGCTCATACCTAAAATCCAACAATAGCATTAAATACTTACTTGACTACTCGACGAATTGCTCGAAGACGACGGATCTGATCGTTTTGCCCACATCTTTACCCACTGAAATTTATGAAACGTCAAGAATAGGAAAAATTATATTATACTTGAGGGAGCTCGCGATTTCAAAAGAAAAAGTCACGGGATTTGAGTAAAAGTAACTCCGAAAGATACCTTCAAACAAAGTGGAGCCGAACGCTGGTTTTGGAAGCTCGGAACTTCGAAAAATCCCTGTCAAAAATGAGAAATCGAAAAAGTTGTCTGAAGCGAGAGGTTTGCGGATAAAATTCGTCGGAAAGATGCGATTGAAGCCCTCTGAAAAACATCAAAGAAGAGCTCCGGACCTTTTACTTCGCCTTTAATTACCGTTCGGAAGCCGAAAACATCAAAAATAGTTCTATTTTTGGCAAAAGTTATATTATTTTAGGTAATAAATGTGAGGAATTAGGGAAATTTTGATGAAATGAGCCAGGTGGAACCGAGAAAAAAAGTTATCGAGTCATTTTTTTCGTCGACATTGTAAAGGCATCAAACTAAACAAGAAGAAAGCGAGCTCTTCCAAAAAAATTCCAATTTTTCCAATTTCCAGAAAATCCGTCATCCTGACAGACCGAATATGATGTTCGCAGGGCAAGACTTTTACATATGTTGTAAATTATGGGCGTTAGAGTGTAATAAAAAATAATTTTCTTCAAATAGTGTTGCTTTATACATTTTACTTGACCATTAATGACTGTCATGATGACATATTTTATTTTCCTTTCAAACTTCTCCGAATCAATTACAGATGAATCATAATGTCATTTCCAGGTTTGCAAATTTTTTTCAAGAAGATTATGAACTGTATTCGATATGAAAAAGAGCATTTTAAACGATTGTAACAAAATTAATTGAGTTGAGGCGTACTCTGATCGCATGATGTAGAAGAGTGAAGGTCGGCTCTACATGAAGAGGGTATATTTAGCACGTTTGAGTTGACGAGTCGCCTCTGGCGTTTTTGTGGTTCGTAGTGGGAGGGCGGAGGAAAAAATCAGCAGTTGGAAGAGGAAAGGAGGGGCTAAATTACAGTATACCTCGAATAAATTTTTCTGAAATTAAGCCTACAAGCCATGACTGGCCCATGTCTTTGATCTGACGATTATCTTTGGCCAATTCTGACAAAAAAATTATGTTATCCATGCGGATTTCATATGACTTCGCCGAATTTGACCAGCCACCCTCCGCAATTCATTTGTAAACGCCCAAAAACCGAAACGCAAGAGAGCCTGTGACCTGGGGAGGGCTCGAGACAGTTGACTATGTCTGGAGACCACTGACTCCGCCCCCTTTTTTAGCAGACTTTCCCGTTCAAAGTACTAAAAGATTTTAAAAACCAGCGAAATCAACTGGAAATAGGAGTAGTCGCGAACGAGGACAGTGAAGAGAGGTCCCAAAAAATGTATTTTGGATCCTACATAACACCGTATTTGCACTGGCTCAACAACCGTGTTCAAGTCGATGTAAAACTCGATGATGCTAAGGTAAGATGGTCGAGATTTCGAAAAAAAAATATCTGTATTACGACCTCTGGAGCTTATTTCATCTATTTGGCCGGTTTGCACTTGATTTTATCCTGTACTTTGCAAAATTTTATATAATCCATGTTATTTTAGGTATCAAATTTTTCAAATTTCTGTATTCTCAAATGCTTTATTGTTTCAAATCCTTGATTCTGTCTTATACTTCTAAAATACAACAATTTTAACTCGAAAGACTTACTAAATCCAGGGAAATCCCTTGTTTTCCCACCTCTTTGCCTAGTATAACATCCTGGCTCATTTCCAAAGGAATCGGCTCAGCTGGTCGTGAAAAATGATTAGAAAAGCCGATTGGACACTAAGCGTATTGGCTGGAGGAGTACTTTGATCTACAAGAGAGAACGTTTCCAAAAGTTCGTCCACTGCAAAAGATTTTTGGAAATTTCCAGAAAACACGTCATCGGGACTGCTAAATTTAGGGCAAGACTTTGTTGGAAGTGTTGCAAATACATGTTTACGATCTATACGGTCTAGTTTTGACATTCCATTACATTGTCAACTTCTAGATAGTCAAATTTTACTAGTCGTGCTGACGGATTTTCTGGAAATCCGAAAAACCCGTCAGTGGCTCTTATTTTTTGTCGCAAAACGAGAAAAAATTGTTTCATGAGCTTGCTCACGAGGTGGCTCTCGAGCTAAAAAGCTTGTTTTTATATTGATTTTGGCTTTGTTCCGTCCAAAAATATTTTTTATTCAACAATTATATTATTCATCAGATATAAGATCAAATTCTAATGTGAAAAAGGACTCCAAACATTGTTATCAGCGTAGTAAATGGAGGTAAGGTGGTGGAGAAAAAGATTTTTAAAGTTTAAAGAACGCACGTTTGCATTGTCTCCCTTTTTCGTCTTTTTCTTCGATATTATACTAGGTGGTCAAAAAATTGGTCTGATGAATGATAATATGTGGCAAATTTTTAAGTTTAATGCTTTCAGGATTACACATTCGCCTCTTCAACGGATGCACACTACGTTTTGTACTATTTTTTGTACGCCACTGGCTTGAGCTACGACAAATTGATCAAGGAGTTGAGGGGAAATTTTTACAACTCCAGAGTTATGAATGCGATCCGAAATGATCGAGGAGAAGCCATCCGAATCCGACCACCATTCCATACGGAAGCCGAGGAGGTTGCGTTGGATAAGTGCTTCGAATTTATCACAAACAGAAAAGCTTCTGTGGGACATGAAAGGCATCGAATGATTGTTAGATTCTTCAACACGACCAACAGAAAACTGGATATGATCTGGGTTAGAGATAGAGTAAGTCCTTTTTGCCCTTTTTGTTTTGGATTTTAGAGGATTTGAGAAGATATGGGAAATATTATATTGCACATGAGGTGTTAAGTGTAATATCGAGATTTCTATATGTGACATCGTCTAAGTTGGTAGAAAAGATGTCTCAAAAGATAGCTGACGCTCATCATCTTGTTTTGGATATTCTTTGAAACTAATTTCTTGTTGTTAAAATACGAAATCCATCAATTTCTTCAAAGGCTTCTAGGTCATGGAGAATATCGAAAATTCTTATTGTTTTTTGAATCCTTTGTATGATATTTTGATAGTATAATTCCTTCAGGATATGGACGACTCGTACTACATGTCACTGGCACCAAAAGGCTATACAGACATGCAAACCTTTGAAGGACATTGCTGGGTGTTCCGAGATTCAGAAGATGGAGAAATTTATAGTTTCCGCGGCACAGACGACATGGTCTTCTACCCCCTTCATGGTACTGTCGTTGGCCATCACGAGACACACAATGCTGCTCCATTGCCGATTGCAGTGGCATTCGTCAAGGATCAAGTGAAATCGCTGAAAAAGCTGTGCCTAAAAAGCATTTCGCAGCATTTTACGCCGGATCAGGTGCTCAGCAAACCAATTCCTTTTGGTCTAATGGTAAGTGGACTTTATTCTTGTTTGTCAATTGAATTTTAGGCAGATATGTTGGAATATCAATTTGATTTATGACCTTATTTTAGTCCGACCTACTTCAACAATTCATTAATCGCATATCCTACAAAAACAGTATCAAAACCGATAAAACCTTTGAGAAACCGGAGCAAAATGAAGCCAAGTTGGTTGTGGATCAGCTGACTGAGACGCTGAAAGAGCTGATGAAACAGGAATTGCATTTGGATCTGGCCAAGTTCCGAAAACGAAAAATTAATATTGATGAAGAAGTCGAGGCCATCGCACTGGACGATACCAAAAAGTAAGAGCGTTTTGACTTTGTTTTGAGTTTTTAGATAATAACTGGAAATTTGGAAGGAAAAAATGTCAAATATTGAGAGGATCAATATTGGCTTATATTATCCATGACCGAAAAGTGAATTTATCAGTATCGTAAGAGGAATATGGAAGAGTAATGTCCATTAATAGACGTGACAGGGCCTGTAGTATAATTTGGAAAAGATTTAGTCGTTTTGTTTTGCTGGAATTCACGATATAAGCTTATATTATCCATGAGAGATTAGGTATTTTTACGATTTTTTTTGCGTATAGGCTTGGAGTTTTTGCTCTCGATGGGATTATTTTGACCTATAAAGGTCTTTCAATAATTTATCGACTACTTTTTCTTCGAAATTTTTGAAGATATCAGCTGATATTATCCATGACCAAAAAAGTAAAAAATCGGAAACTTCTGACACAGAAAGTACATTTCAAGATAGCCGGTGTTTTAGAAACATGCAACCACTCCAATTTCTGTAGTAAAAGTACTATTGTACCTTATAGTTATTAAATTATCAGAAGTTTTTTTGGACTTTGCTCCAAAATCACATTTCGCCGCGAAAATGACGCAACGACCGAGTTTTTGCAACAGAATTTGTTCGAGTGAGAGTCCACATGATCGCTCACATGATTTGCAGACAACCTTTGGAATCTTGATCCGTTTTACGTTGCACTTTTCCGCCGAAAAGTGCAACTATAATGGAGGCGGCTAGATGAGGAAGTCTGGAGGTTGTTAAGTGCGTCTGGACGAGTTTTTGTTGCGTCTGGACGAATATTTATTTTAGGTTGGACGCAATGAACTTTGCGAGGAAAAAAAAAATCAGGGAGAAAATTGGAAAACGCTGAAAAAAAGATTTTTTTTGAAAAAATTACTAGTTTATTGGTAAAAAATCAGAGTTCTGGTAGTTGTAGAATACGGAGGATGTTTTGTAGATAATATTAGAGCTTGATCTGTCAAAAGAAAATTAGTTTTTATATGTTTGCGGACCAAAATTATGTTGTAGTAGGTGTAATATTACCTTTATGAAAAATTAATGAAGTTTTTGGGTAAAAACTAAAAATCTTTTTGAGTGGAAGTACAAAGAGTTGGTTTTGACGCATATTAAACATAAATTTATTGAAAGAAACCGCTTTTTGGCCATTTTATGACCAAAATTATGTTGTAGTAGGAGTAATATGATTTTTGTCGAAATTTAATCTTGTTAATAGAAATGGAGGATCGTAAAATACGTAAAAATTAATGAATGTCTTTTTACATCAACATTTCTTGATTAAAACAAGGGCTTGTTTGTTTTATGAGCAATATTATATTGTAGTAGACACTAGAGATTTTTTGTAGAAAAAACTGTTCGATTTGAGGAAAATAGGATTTTTGGTGATTGTAAAATACGATGGGCCCTTTTTTCGAAACCTTTACGACTTTAATTGGCTAAAAACCCCGATTTTTACTCATTGTTTGACTAAATTTATATTGTACTAGGTATCAAAGTCAAAAAATGATGTAATATTTGTTATTATGACGTAGTAAAGACCTTGTGGACTTTGCAACCTCCGCCGCCTGTCTAGACATGGCTGGGGGGCCGGGCCGGGCCGAAAATCGCGGCCCGGCCCGGGGGCCGGAAGAGGTCGGCCCGGCCCCGGCCCCCTTCAAATTTTCTCGGCCCGGCCCGGCCCGGCCCGGCCCCCAGGGGGCCGGGCCGGGCCGGGGGCCGACAGGGGGCCGAACTGTAAATATAAATACTGCATTCATTGCGAGATATAACACATTTTTTTGGGGCTTTGGTAGTTCAGCTCCCCGCGAAAGGTAGTTCAAACCCCACTGTTTTGCCCATTTCACACCCACCGTAATTAAAGAATTAGAATTATACAAAAAATGCAAATTAGAGTAAAATGACCCCAGGCGTTTTAGTTCAAAGCCCCAGTTACCGTCCAAATTCGTATTTGTGGTTCAGGCAACGATGATCGTAGCCGAGAGAACCCAATCCCGAGTAGGCGCTTCAGATTGGATGAGGGGGTTTATACTGGGTCCAAGGGGGCTGAACTGGGCTATCGAGTTGTACTACCTTAGCCCCCATTTTTTTGTTATAACAAGCGACAATAAATTTTTGAAACAAAAAATTACCAACCATTGCCTAAAGTACTTCAAAAAACCCAATCGGTTCTTGGCTCTGCGTTTTATTTTTATTGGCAACCCTAATTTTCGCTTTGATACTGAGAATTTTAGTCATTGGGGGCCGATTGGGGGCCTGGCGGGGGCCCCCGGTCGGCCCGGCCCGGGGGCCGGAAGAGGTCGGCCCGGCCCCGGGGCCTTTAAAACTCGTTCGGCCCGGCCCACTAGCCATGTCTACGCCTGTCACGGCCCGTCATTTTGTACTTTTCGACCAATTCTATTTTCGGGTTTGTGTCTAAATTCAAATCCAAAGATCACCCACCAGCCCCCTCCAGAAATTGAAACAAGAGCGGCTCGAAAAACAAATCAGAACGAAGTCCACGAAGTGGTCGGGTAAATATTTGTGTGTTCAAAGCTCAGTGGTGCTTGATTTGTAACGAAAGAAGGTAGTGGCAGTCAAAAAAAGTTGCTAAAAATACTGTTTACAAGTGGCTGATCATATTATGAAAGTATTGAGGAGAAACATGGGAGATTAGAGATGAAAATGAGGGATAATACGAAAACTTTTAAAATTTTGCCTAGTGTGATATGAAATTTTTTTATTTTGTTGCCTAATGTAATATAAATAGTATGAAAATGGGTTATATGTTTAATATGAGAGATTAAAAGCGGAAAAAATCAAAGACAAATATATATCAAAATTTTTTTTTTGAAATTTGAGTCAAGTACAATATAAAAATTTTTCGATTTTAATGTCTAAAACAATATAATTAATATAAACATGAGTGCTAAATACAATGTTGGCTCTTGCAGAACACGTCCAGCCCGAGAAACCTCCGAAAATCAGTGAATTCGACAAGATATTCGGCTAGCGATATTACACTCAATCTGGTGATCTGAATTTATGCGGTACAACGTCAATTCCGTCTTCGCAATTTCTAAAATTTCTATTATATTGTATATCACATTTTTATTCAACATTTTTTTTGGTTTTAAACCATAATTTCGATGATTATTGTAAATAAAGAGAATGATGGGTAGATTTGGAGGTTAAAATGTTTATTGGTCAGTAGCTTGAAGGGTGATGGTAAATTTCCGGAAAAATTTGGCACAGACGGTCTTCAAACGTCGAAAATAAATGTATAAAAATTTTTGCTCATGCTTTGCAAGAGCGGCCGAGCTATTCAACGATGTTTGCAGACGAGAGGTTATGAAAAATGAGGAGAGATGGCCAGAGAAAGCGGCTTCTTTTTCTCTGACCATCTCTTCTCGTTTTCCATAATATCTTGACTGCAAACATGGTGGAATAGCTCGGCTGTTCTTGCAAAACACGAGCTAGAATTTTTAGGAAGTAGATCTGATTCGGAGAATCGATTTGATCAATTGCAATATCGTTTTTTGTCAAGTGTTCTTGAGATTGTTGTTCATTCGCTTCGGAAAGATGAATAGATTAATCTGACGTAAAAAAAGTTGAACTTTAAAGGTCAAAGTGGGCTGTCTGGAAAGCCATTTGTTTTTATTTTGACTTTAATTTTAGACCTTTAGCCCAATCATAAGATTTTCTGGAGCAAAGGTAACAAAAAAAAATTATGTTTTATAAATAAAAACATTTTTTGGAGGGTTGTAAAATACGATAAAGAATGCTTTATTCTAAAAATGCACAAAGATCTGGCGGAAAAATGCTTTTTCTCTTACTTGCCATAATCTCTCCTCTCCAAAGATCGTTGATATCTCGGCTGTAGTTGCAAAGCAAAAGCTGAAATTTTTAGCGATAAATTTATGGCTTATACAGAGGTTCCTTCCAAAATTTGAAGAAATTTTACAAGATAACCTTTGAGAATTTTCCATTCGAACTTACAAGGGAAGTACCCCAAGTGCGACGCTCAGATTTTCTTTAAATTTTACACACACGTCGGGTATGGACTAGATATCAATTCCTGAAAGTTTTAGCTTGCGCTTTGCAGGCGCCGCCGAGATATCGGACGATTTATGCCGCCGAGAGAGCACGCTAAACGTGGAGAGCGGTCAGAGAGAAAAACGCTTTTTGGCCATAACTTTGGCAGTTTCGCGCGGAAAAATTTGATTTTTTGTAGAAACATTATCCTTTACGGTAGAAATAGGCATGAAACTTTTTGTGCTGAAATTCGGCAAAAAGTCCTAAATTTTCGCCGACTTTCGATCTAAAAATCTCGGTTGTTTCTGCAAAGCGCGAGCTAGGATTCTCGCATATATCTTAGAAAAAATTATTCTAAATTTGTGCCAAGTTTCATCAAAATCTGAGCGTCGCTCTTGGGGTACTTCCCCTGTTAGATGATTTTTTATAAAAAAAAGACAAACTTTCGACATTTTTCCTCCAAAAATTCAACTTTCCACCCACTCAACTTGCTCTTTGTCCCTTAAAAACATTCGGGATGGCTTCTATTTTGGTCAATATGACAAGAAAAAATTTCCAAAAGAAAAATAGCCCGTCAAGGACTGTCTCTTCACAAAAATACACCCAATTTCGCAAAAAAATCGTAAGAAAAGTGACCAAAAATTGGCCAAAATTTCGGAAATGCGGATGTGGCCGCATTCGGTCAGTCGCCGCATTTGTGGCCATGGAAAATATTTCGGACCAAACGCTGAAAAAGGAGATAAAAAAAGAGATCGAGGAGTTCTACGAGAAGAAGAACATGGTCCTTTTTCATCGACAAATTTTGAATGCCGCCGAGGAATTTGGAGAGGATGTGGCATTGGTGAGTGGGGATGCTGTAGAGAAAAAGTTTTTTGAGAGGTTGTTTTTGAATTTTGAGGAGACTTGGGAACTTTGGAGGCGAAAAGGAAAATTTCTTATATTGCACTAGGCTAGCTGAAGGTAAGGCAATATCTCAAAATTAGAAATTCCAATTGCCTCTAAATTTGGTATTCTTACTCTAAATAGACACAGTAATAATTGCTGACAATTTCACCTGCAATTTTTTTCGCGGAAAATGTCGAAAATTTCAATTTGAAAATTAAAATGATGACTAAATTTTCCCAGTCAAGTTCTAAAAGGCCAGCTCTCCAATTTTCTTCAAATTTGGTGTGAATGCTCTAGCAATCCAACCAATAACTCTCTAAAAAAATTAGTTCTTTCTATGCAAGCAGAGCCGAGATATTCAACGATCTTTGCAGACGAGAGATTATGCAAAATGGGAGGGACGGTCAGAGAAAGCGGATTTTTTTTCTTTGACGGTTTCTTCTCGTTTTCATGGTGTCTTGACTACAAATAAAGTTGAAGGTCTTGAGCGTTATTATGAGGTCTAACACCCAGCTTTAGAAATGAATAAAGTTTTTTTTTTAATTTTTGGCATTTTTTGATCAAAAAATGTCGTTTGAAATCATTGGCGAAATAAAAAGTTTTATGGAATCCCTCTTCGAAGACTATACGTTTTAAAAATTATCTAGCAGGGGAAGTACTCCAAGTGCGACGCTCAGATTTTGATGAAGCTTGGCACAGATTTAGAGTAATTTTTTCTAAAATATATGCGAGAATCCTAGCTCGCGCTTTGCAGAAACAACCGAGATTTTTAGATCGAAAGTCGGCGAAAATTGATGACTTTTTGCCGAATTTCGGCACGAAAAGTTTCACGCCTATTTCTATTGTAAAGGATAATGTTTCTACAAAGAATCAAAATTTTCCGCAGGAAACTGCCAAAGTTATGGCCAAAAAGCGGTTTTCTTTCTGACCGCGCTCCACGTTTAGCGTTCTCCCTCGGCGGCAAAAATCGTTCGATATCTCGGCGGCGCCTATAAAGCGCGAGCTAAAACTTTCAGGAATTGATATTTAGTCCATACCCGACGTATGTGCAAAATTTAACAAGGAAAGTACTTTTATGGGGGCTCCTACTTTTTGACGGGACATATCTCAAAAAATCAGAAAAAATGTGCTGATCAAGGATATATAAATCTTAGCTGCCCATTTTAGGGTTTTAGGGGTGAAAACTCAATCGGAAGTTGACTTAAAGTCCTATATGAACCCCTTTTCGCCTAATTTTTCACGGGTTTACAATTTTTATTTTGGCTTAAAATGATGTTTATTGAGTTTCTAAGACGTAATAAATCAGTCTTGGCCCAAAAATTTATTTTTCCGACCTTCAACTTCAAAAAAAGTTGATTCAGCCCAAAAGGGAAATCGAACCTGTGCGGCGTTCCCTCTCTTGATTCCCAGACTACGGCACTAACCACTCGGCCACATCGCCCTCTTCCGAAGGAAGAGACCGACTGCGCTTTTTATCGTTTCGAATGCATGCGCCTTTTGTAGGGAAATTGAGCCAGTTTTTGGGCATTTTCACCCCAAAAAGCCCAAAATGGGCAGCTAAGATTTATATATCCTTGATCAGCACATTTTTTTCTGATTTTTTGAGGTATGTCGCGTCAAAAAGTAGGAGCCCCCATAAAAGTACTTTCCTTGTAAAGAAAATCTGAGCGTCGCACTTGGAGTACTTCCCCTGTAAGACTGTACCAAGTTTTATCAAACTTTGAGCGTCGAACTTGGGATATACTCTCCTGTTAGTGGTAAAATAGGGTCGTCTTTAGTATCTCCTTTAAAAATACACCGACAAAATTTCAGACCGACGCCGAAACCGGCGAGCACTTGAGTTTCAAGGAGCTGCGTCGACGAGTTTTTGTCCTCGCCCAAGAACTTCGTGAAGTTTATTCGGTTGGCCCTGGTGATATTGTCGTTTGTTTCTCACCGAATTCCATTTATTACCCTGTTTTCTTCTTGGCCTCGGCTTTGGTGGGGGCTTCGTTGACTGGGGTGAATCCGGAGTTCACTGTTGGTAAGAGAAAGGATGATTTTGAAGGTGATTTTGTAGATGAGCTGGGATTTTATATCCGAAAGACGAAATGCAAATGCGTCGTAACGAATGCTGACTTGTTGGAGAAGGTTGTTCAGGCGGCTTCTGGGAATCCGGTAAGTGGCTTTTGTGGGGAGATTTTTTTGGGAACCTCACAAGGATTATTCCTGATGGGGCGCCATTGACAGGAGAAGTACTCAAAGTTCTGTTTGGGGAAGGTTTACATACTAATATTAGTATTTTCATAAAGTGCACGGACATTTTTTGTCTTTTGCACATCAGTTTTACATTTTTTTGCGGCCCGCACGGTGCACAAAAAACTCCATTTTTCACCGTGCATTTCACTTTTTTTAACTTTTTTTCAATGCACTGTGCATTGAAATATCACTGCGACATACAAGTTTCAACTGCGTCGCTGCGACAGCGCCAGGAATTTGCACAGAAAATGCGTTTACGCATCAGTCTGTCTGGAAAATAATGAGTTCTCTATCGCATAGCCGCAGAGAAAATCAGCGACATGATCTGTAATCAATTTTAAAATACGACACAAAAAATAATATTCTTTTTAGCTTCCAATTTTCGTAATTGGAAAGCTCGCCGGCCAATTGGGAATCGACTTGGAGCGTCTTCTCCAAACCGCTCCAACTTGCGACAATCTGGATTATGATAAGGATTTGGATGTGGATCATGTTGTATTGACTCCATTGAGCAGTGGGACCACCGGAACTCCGAAATGTGTAATGTTAACACATCAAAATTTCATCGTTCAAACAGAGGTTTTAAAGGAGTAAGTTGATGGAAATGGTGGTCAATACAAAAATTTAAATTCGGGAATTATGTTTTTAAAATACGGGACGTGATATCCTTCTATAAAAATTAAAAAAAAGATAAATTTTTTAAAATTTTTAAAATTATTTTTTTAAAAAATATTTGAATTTTTTCTTCATTTTCGGCCAAAAAATGCAAATTTTCCCAAAAGAAAAAATAAAAAATTTTTAAACCATTTTTTAAATACAAAAAATTTTTTTTTTGTTTTTTAAAGTGAAGAATCCATGGTTGCATATTTCGTATTTTAAAACATTTTTTATGAATTTCTATTTAATTCAGAGTCCTCTTCGACCGCTTGTCCCAGGCCGGCGGTCGTCGCTCGACCATCGGAGTCCTCCCTTTCTACCATGCCAGTGGATTTTGGGCGCTTTGCTTCTGTTTATTGGCTGGACATCACACTGTGGTCATGCAGAAGTTCCAGGCGCCACTTTTGTTGAGCTGCATTGAGGATTATCAGGTGAAAAAGTTTAAAAGGAACTGTATTTGGCATTTACCGTATTTTAAAAATATTTTTTTGATTTTTTTGTTTGACTTTGTAATTTTTTAAACTTTTTTTATTTTTTTTTAAATTCTTTTTTGATTTTTTTGTTTTTTGATTTTTAAATTTTTTTTTAATTTTTTTAAATTTTTTTTTGTTTTTTTTTTGATTTTTTTGTTTTTTGATTTTTAAATTTTTTTAAATAAAAATTTTTTTTTAATTTTTGTATTAAAAAATATTTTTCAGGTCGATGTCCTCAATATCATCCCTTCAATTGTCACATTTTTGCTGAAAAATGATGCGTTGGTCAAGGAGTTTGACTTGAGTTCAGTGAAGACGGTTCTTTGCGGAAGTGCTCCATTGTCCAGAGAAATGACTCAGGATTTCATGGAGAAGTTTCCTCACGTTGTCGATTTCGTACACGGTAATGTAATTAAATTTTTTTTTACAAGGAAAGTACTTTTATGGGGGCTCCTACTTTTTGACGGGACATACCTCAAAAAATCAGAAAAAATGTGCTGATCAAGGATATATAAATCTTAGCTGCCCATTTTGGGCTTTTAGGGGTGAAAATGCCCAAAAACTGGCTCAATTTCCCTACAAAAGGCGCATGCATTCGAAACGATAAAAAGCGCAGTCGGTCTCTTCCTTCGGAAGAGAGCGGTGTTGCCGAGTGGTTAGTGCCGCAGTCTGGGAATCAAGAGGGGGGACGCCGCACGGGTTCGATTTCCCTTTTGGGCCGAATCAACTTTTTTTAAAGTTGAAGGTCGGAAAAATAAAATTTTGTGCCAAGACTGATTTATTACGTATTAGAATCTCAATAAACATCATTTTAAGCCAAAATAAAAATTGTAAACCCGTGAAAAATTAAGCGAAAAGGGGTTCATATAGGACTTTAAGTCAACTTTCAATTGAGTTTTCACCCCTAAAAACCTAAAATGGGCAGCTAAGATTTATGTATCCTTGATCAGCACATTTTTTCTGATTTTTTGAGATATGTCCCGTCAAAAAGTAGGAGCCCCCATAAAAGTACTTTCCTTGTTAAAATAAAAAATATAAAAAAAGAAAAAAAAGTTGAAAAAAAAATAAAAAAAAATCAGAAATTTTTTTATTTTATTTTCAGAATAATCTTAAAAAATAAAAAAATACAAAAAATGCAAAAAATAAAAAAAAATTTTTTTAAAATTTTTTTTTGCTTCTTTCAATTTTTCCCCCAAAAAATCTCATTTTGACTAAAAATTGACGTGATTTTTCAGTTTCAGGCTACGGTATGACGGAGATCGTAGCCCTGAGTCATCTCAGTCCTCTGGACCTTCCTCTCACCGACGTAAAACACCTCACTTCTTGCGGAAAACTGCTGCCTCGCTTCGAAAGCAAGGTCATCGATATTGAAACGGCGGAAGAGATAACGGAGCCAAATCGAAAAGGAGAGCTTTTGTTGAGGTCCGACTGTGTGATGAAGGGATATTTGAATGACCCTAAAGCAACTGAGGAGACCATCGACTGTGAGAAGTGGCTGCATACGGGTGGGCTTTTTAACTTGATTTTTTGTGGATTTAAATTTGAAAATCATGTAAATTTCAGGTGATATTGTGTATTTTGACGCCGAAGGATTTTACTTTATTGTGGATCGGATTAAGAATCTAATCAAGGTGAATGGAATGCAGTTATCTCCACTGGAGTTGGTAAGTAGAACCTAAAGGCAAACAAATTTTCGTCGGTCTTCTCTTGCCATATCCAATTTCAATTTACCCACACTATTGCAAAAAAATCATAGAGTGAATCATAATGGCTTTCATTGTCCGATCAGGGTATGATCAGTGTCAAGACCTAGATATAGGTCAAGTAATAAAGGTCCCTAATCCAGTTCTACCTAAGATCCCAAGCCCTATGCGAACACAAAGACAACGACTATACAAACAAGCGACAATACAAAACTATGCCCTGGGCAACAACTTCAATATGAACTCACGACGATGGACTCCAGACGATGTGACCACAACACAACAACAATAGACTACAGTAGAAATACGATTTACTGCTCGAACCAAACATACCACCGGGGAAAGACAAAACACGAAAATAGTCATAATAATTGGAGATTCCTCTTCCTTTTATACCAATTTGTCGGTCATTCCGCGGGAATATGCAAATTCGCACGCGAAGTCGTAACATCAGGGAATCGCTCCATCGGAGGTCATGATCTCCTAACATCTTATCTTGAAGCGCCCAAACGGTCGTCTATAGGGGGATGTCGAATTCATGCTGATCCTTTGCCGTTTCCAACGATTTCTTGAACAGCTCCAATTTTCCCACATTTTGGACTGATCTAACGTTGACATTAGGAACTTGAAATCCATTACAATGAATGGCTACTGTCAAGCCCTTTGTGCCCGCAGCGGCATGGGTGGACATGAAAAACCGACCGCTCTCCAGGAAGAAATCCATTTTCTGTGAAATGGTTTGCCAAGGGGAACTGTTCGCCTAGGTGCACTCTTCGGCCAGATTCACTGTTTACCCTGGATTATTCGGGCCAAACCCTAGTATCAGTCTGTCGGGAAAACAATGTCACTGCGCCAATCACGACGCTGAAGTGAAAAGCAATTTGATTTGTCGCGACACAGCTAATTTTCTCGCCGGCGATGCAATTTTCGATGCGTCAGACCGGTCATTATTTTCCCGACAGACCGATATTTTGAGCGTAAAACGTCTAGTAACTACGAAACCAGCCTGTCATTTTTTCAGGCTGTTTCAATAAGTATGAGCAATTTCAGGAACACCTCCTACTAGCAAATGATATTGTCGCCGAAGCCGCGGTTATCGGAGTCCCCGCCGAATCCTTCGGCGAAGTCCCTCGGGCATTTGTCGTGTTAAATTCGGTCCCAGAAGATGCTCAAAAAGTGACGGAGCAGCTGAGAGAGTCTGTGAATGGTAAGAAAAAACATATTTCTTAGTTTTGTTTGTAAAATACGAGATGCCATGATGCTGCGAAATTAATTTAAAAAAAATTAAAACTTTCAGCGCAAGTCGCCGCATACAAACAGCTCCGTGGCGGCCTCGTGATTCTTCCAAGTTTGCCGAGAACTGCCTCGGGCAAGGTGCAAAAAGAGGAGCTCCGTCGCTTCTCGCTGACTCCAGTTATTCTCCCGCAAATTACCGAGACTTTGGTCGATCTTAAAATTAACGAAACTGAGGCAAGAAAGGAGGAAAATACAGTAACCCAAAATCCAAAAATTGCAGTGAAGTTGGAGGACATTTGCAGCGACGAAGACGAAACCTTTTTGTGATATTTTTTTTTTATTTTTTATTTTACAAGGAAAGTACTTCTATGGGGTGTGGAATTACCGGTCAAGATATATATCAAAAAATTCGCAAAAATTTTCTGATTCAGAATGTATAAAAATTAGCTGCCTAATTTTGGTCTGGTGACATGTTTTTGTCCTCAGAAGTTTTCTCGCGACACCATGCAAGTGTCTTTTTGACCTTGTTTTTACTAATAAAAAAATTTTGTTTTGTGTTAAAATAAATTCTGAGGCCTTGGCAAGCCTTAAAATATCAAATTGGATTACAACTACACCTTAAAAGTAGTTCCAACGTAAAAAATGGGTTCTAGTGTGGCAAAAAGAATCGAACCCGTTCCCCTCTTCCAACCTAGCGCTCTAACCACTCGGCCACACCGCTCTCTTCCGAGGGAAGAGACCGAGCGCGCTTTTGTTGCCGCAGATTTTTTTCCTCGAGAAATACATTTATTGATAAAATTCGTTGATAGACCAAAATTAGGCAGCTAATTTTTATATAGTCTGAATCAGAAAATTTTTGCGAATTTTTTGATATATATCTCGACCTGTAACTCCACACCCCATAGAAGTACTTTCCTTGTTAAATATTTTAAAATTAAATTTTTTTTATTTAAAATATTTTAAAAATTAAAATTTTATTTTTATTTTAAATATTTTAAAAATTAAATTTTTTTTTTATTTTAAATATTTTAAAAATTAAAATTTTTTATTTTCTAAATAAAATTGTAAAAAAATTTGAGATCACAATAAAAAAAGAGATTCGAAAAAATAAAAGTTAACCGTATTTTAGAAGATTATGAAGTCGGGTCTCTAGAGAATTGTCTCGCTTTTCTCGTTGCTTTCGTCATGAGGCTCGCCGGAACGGAAGAACGCCGTGATCAGACCTTCACTGACGAAAAGACCGCAGGATAAAAGGGAGAAAATCTGAAAAAAATATTTTTGATTAATTTTACATTAATTTCAAATTATTTTTTGCGTTTAAAGATTCAAAAAATGTGGGAAAATAGCAAAAAGAAAATATTTGTTGTTTTTTTGTCGCCGAAATATTATTAGGTTGTCCAACAAATAATGACCCTCTTCGAAAAATTTATTTTTTCGGCAAAATTTACCGTAATCACTGCGATCTATTTAATCAAAATAATTATCATGCGCTTTATCACGCTTGTTAGAACGTGCCAAAAAGTTTTTTATGTCTGTTGCTTAGGAACCCCGGCTTCTGGAGCCGATGAAACTTTTGAAGGCCTTTTCAAGGGCGTCTTGATTGTCGAATTCCCTACCACTGGTGAAACGTGCTAGATTCTTGAACTGATGGTAATGTGTATAGGCCAGCTTTGACAAATAGGCTGGACGAGGGACAGTCTCGTATCTCTATTAAATCGGCTTCTGGAGGGTCATCTTTCAAAGGGGACGTTCCGTGTAGCCGCTAAGAATTTTTGGACTTCTGCGGCGCATCGTTGAAGACAGATGCTGCCACAAACTGTCTATCTGGATACCGTAGGGGATGGTATCTACATTTTGGCCAGCTTTCAAGAAGCTGTATTGTACTATTCCCATGCTGCACCATCAAGAACTAGTCATCACCTTGTTTTGGGGGGAGTCGGGCGTTGACAAGTGCCGCAGTGATACTCTCGGAGGACTCCGTTCAGCATATCCGGTCTGGTTGTCCCAGTAGGTCCTCTTTTCATCAGAGGCAACGATTCGACCCAGAAAACGGCACGCAAACGCGAGAAATGTAATGCTTCCACTCTTTGCTTTGATCCAATAACATGGGAAAAAGTTATCGAGCATTCTTTGAATTCCATCGACATCGAATGGTTAGCCGCCGATTATTTTAACAGCCAGACGATGTCAGACACGCGTTGGATGTTGATTCTAGGATGTTCGTCAACCGACGACCTCAGGGCAAATTGATAAGGTTTGGATTCCGTACTTTATCTTTGGGTCAGTTGCCGTCAAATCGTAATTTTTAAATCCATCGTTTCACCGTGTTCAGACTCAGAACACACTAGTCGAACACAGCGTTGATACTTTGCGTAGCTTCTGAAACTTTCGCGTCCTGTTTTTGCCCGTAAAAGATGACAGCGCGAACCGACTTTTTTTTGATAATTTTCGATTCGGGCTAAATTACTGTAATTTGGCCCCAATATGACAAACAATACATCAAACGAAAGCCTGAAATCTCAGCTACAAAATGTTATAATATTTCGAAATTCCATCATCGCTTGCCTTTTTTAGAGGCTTTAAACTTTGCCCCTCTCACAGAGGGTCATTATTTGTTGGACAACCTAATATTTTTAATTAATATTATCGACAAAAATTAAAATTTTAAAATACGGCGCAGTTTATAAGGCTTGCCTTAAAGAATAAAAAAAATGTGAGGAAAATCAAAAAAAAAAAAAAATGAATAAATAATTTTTTTTGCTCAAAATATTTATTATTGTAATAATTTTAGAATACGCCGTACACTTTTTCTTTTGTATCTTAAGAAATAAAAAAATAATTTTTTTTTTTTTATTTTGAAAAACTCACCCCAGCCAATGCCCATCCATTGATCCCGCATTGCGTATCGAAATACTTTTCCACCGCATTAAAATCCCTTCGCAGAATTTCACTTCGATAAAAGTCGTCGAGCCACGGACACGCACTGTAATGCATTTCCAGACCGAAAACGAGCAGGGAAAATGGAACACATCCGAATGAGTAGCAAATACACTGAAAAATTTTTTTTTTAAAAAAAATAAATAACAAAATATAATATAAAAAAATTATATAAATGTATATTTCGTATTTTACAAAAAAAAATTTTTGTTTTTTGTTTATTTTGCAGACAAAACAAAACATAATTTTTGTGTCATTGCACAGTGCAATGAAAACATTTGTTTATTTTTTTTTCTTATTTTTTTGCACTGTGCAATCATTTTTTAAAAAAGACAAAATGCACTATGCAAAACGAAAAAAACTTCCTCCTTGCACGGTGCACTCTTCGAAAATTCAAAAATTCTTTTGCACTGTGCAGATTTTTTTCTTGTTTTTTCAAAAAATTTATTTTTATGATTTTCGTATTTTACAATCTTTTTCGTTTTTTTTTTATTTTTGCGCACTGTGCAGACAAAATAAAACATATATTTTTTACTGCACAGTGCAATGAAAATTTTCTTTCTTATTTTTTTGCACTGTGCAATCATTTTTACTTCAAGACAAAATGCACTGTGCAAAACAAAAAAACTTCTTTCTTGCACGGTGCAATCTTCGAAAATTCAGAAATTCTTTTGCACTGTGCAGATTTTTTTTCTTGTTTTTTTTTCAAAAATCGCGCATCACAAAGAGACATTTCGCACATTTTGATCGCTTCTCATCGCAAGAAAAAATGCACTGTGCAAAAAAGAAAAAAAGAATTTTTTTTGCACTGTGCGGATTTTTCCTCGTTTCGTTGCGACAGAAAGGCGCACAGTGCAATCGAAAGACAAAACCTGGCTCCATTGCACAGCGCAGCCATTTTTTTGTCGCGAAAAGAGAATTTTTGCACAGTGCAAAAAATTTTTTTTCTCTGCACAGTGCAAATTTCAAAACTTTTTTTTTGCACTGTGCGGTCCCAAAAAAATAAAAAAGATCTCTCAACAATATGTCTTACCATAATTTTTGAGTGTTTGCATTTGAAACAATGTACTAGTTGCAACACCAACGTTAGACACAACATTACAGCCGACAATGCGCCGGAGACGTATTGGCCGGTCAATTTCATTTCGCTGAACGTGAATGGAAGACGATGCTCCTTTTTGTACGTCCATTTATTTGCCGTCAGCATGAGTGATTGCCTCATTCCATTGCGACCTTGATATTGACCAACGCCAGTGAAAATGAGAGCGTTTACGAGCATCTGAAGTGGGGACATTTTATACGAAAGACGAAAAATTTTTTTTCTGAAATAGTCTTTGATCTTTCTTTCTTTGGAAAAAATCTGAGAAAATGGGTTGAACAATCGGAATTTTTGCTATTTTTTGCCAAGGAGACATTTTATACGAAAAAATAAAATTTTTTAAAACTTTCAAAAAATCCTGTTAAAAGTATGGAAACAACACGCTAATCAGGAGAAAAAATACAATAAAAACTTTTCTAAGTTTTCAGGTGACATTTTATACGCAAAAAATATCAAAAAAATCGAGAAAAATTAAAAAAATCCTGTTTAACCCATATTTCTTACCCGAAAACCGGAATCGGCCAGTCTGAAAAATCAAAAATTACCTCAGATTTTAATGGACATATCTTTTTTTAATCTTGAAGCGACATTTTATACGCAAAAACAAAAAAAATCGAAAAAATCCCTTTTTTTATGAAATGGATTATTCGACTCAAAAAAAAAACGTATCAACCCCCAAAATAGCTCATCAGAAACTCTAGGTTTTCAGCTCTATTTCCAGCAAATAATCTTACCAACAAGACCATGTTGGCCATCCGGATCGTGAGGATTATCCTCGACCCATTGACGTCACTTCTCCGCCTGGAATCCACCTCGTGCTCGAGGGCTTGCGCCACCAAAATCAGGCGATTCAACGTGCCGGTGGATTGTTTTCGATTGTCGAAGATTGGTTGAACTGTTGGTGCGTCGTCGCTGGTCATCGTGATCTTGGGCAGATTTCCATTGTGTTTGAGCAGGGTTTTGTCCATTGATTTTTTCTGCAAAAAATAGGATAATTGAGTGTGATAGGACGCCGGGAATCTTTTCGGCCCACAAACAAAATATTTTTTATTGATTTTGAGGCTAAAACTGACGAGTGAAAGACTTGACCCATTTTGAGTCAAGTGTTTCTCTCGTCTTCTAAGTGCGGAATTGGGTGTAAAAATAAGTTGAAATGGCCTTCAAAGGGTTCTCACAGAAAAAAGCTTCATAAAATTTTAGATTGAGAAAAAACTCTTGTTGTAAAATACGACTTCTCCCTTCTAAAAAAATTTTTTTTGAAGGATTAAAATTTCAAATGGTCTGTTGGGTTCAATAACAGTCGATAATTGCCTCTAATTCTTTGTTGTTTTCCCATTATCCTAATCGACAATTATCAAGCCCAAAAGTGGATACATTGTTTTACTAGGGAAGTGTACAAACGAACCCTCACCAAATGGCAAGTGATATACACCATTGGAAAGCCCTTGAAAAATGGTGCAAGATACCATTTTCATTTTTTGCAGAATGCCTTTCCGCGACGACATACTGTAAATTTCATTATTTTTAGGTCATTTCGCAATAAAAACCTTTCTTTCTCTTGAGCGGATAAAAATTCTGGAAGAGAGTTGCTTCGATAGTGTAGTGGTTGATGAGCAGCCAAACCAAGCTAGGTTCGATTCCCAGCTTGGGTAAAAACGTTTTGCGTTCTTACAGTTAGGATAATATTTGAGTTAAACTTTTACAAACGCTTTAATTTTTCTAGAAAACGGTCGATTACGGTTAAAACCATCAAACTTACATGTTTTTCAAAATTAAAAAAAGTGAAAAGTGTTTTTTCACGTTATGGGTGTTTAAAACCAGTAAATGTCATATGTAAAATGGTTTTACTGGCAATCGCCAAACTTCATAATGATTCTTAGGCCAACCTAGTAGCAATATTTACCATTTAGCGTTTTGAAATAAGATTTATTTTGCCCCACAGCCGATATTGTAACTACTTAAGGGACAAATCAACCGTTTATAATTTTTTGCCCTGAGGCATTCTGCAAAAAATGAAAATGGTACCTTTCATCATTTTTCAAAGGCTTTCCAATGGTGTATAACACTTGCCATTTGGTGAGGGTTCGTTTGTACACTTCCCTAGTTAGGGATTTAGTCTCAATTACATAATGACTAAATTGGAAAAAAATAATGTTGTAAAAGATTGTGACCAAAATTAATCTGGTTTTTAATGAAATTTGGCTTTAAAAATAATGCCAAAAATTTTGAAATTGGAAAATTTGAAAAACTTGTATATAAAAAAATTTGCATAAATCTCAAAATTTACAAAATTTAATCATAAAAATATTAAAAAACAAAAAAAAAATGGTTTTTAAAAAATTGAAAAATTTTCATAAATTCAAAAAATTTTAATATTTCAATAAATTTCCATCATTTCCAAATTTTTTTTTAACTTTTTTCATCATTAAATGGCATAAAAACAACGTAAAAGTATTCTATTTTCTCTTGCAGATATTTTTTTAAATCCAACTATACAATATAAAATTACTAAACCCTCCAAAGAAGCCAACTCCAACCAATACAGACGCCCAAGCAAATCCCCCTCTGGCCCCCGACTCACTCGAAACTGTCCCATTCGGCTGCGATGATCCGTGCGCTCCCACCGTCGCCGTCACACGATGATATTATATCTTCAGGCGAATACGCAAGCCAATTCTCTTTAATCCGGCCCAAAGTTATTCCTAAATAAAGGGGTTTACTAAAGATTTGGCCGAACATGTCAGCGGTTTCGGATAAACTCGCAGTTTTTTTGGGACGATACGCGAGATATGGGCGATAAATGAGGAAAAGTGTAAAAATGGGGGGAAATGTCAAAGCTATTTTTGGGATTTTTTGGAGATAAAGGGTGAAAACGTAGAGAAAAAATGTAAAGATTGAGTGTAAAGTGTGCGAAAGTCAAAGATCATAGAGATAAGGCGTCTGCAAGGAAATTGCCAAGCTTTATCGACAAAAATATGCAAGAAAACATTTGTTTAAAAAAGGATTTTACTGTTTATGAGCTCATTTTGTGAAAAACATCGTCAAAAAATCATTTCTCTTATTAATTTTTCGAAATTGAATTTCTCAAAGATCGACTGGTTGATTTTTCTCAAATTTTGCATAGCTTTTACACATAGGCCACTGATCAATTGCTGGAAATTTTAACTTCAGCGTTGCAGTGGAAACCGCGATATTTAGTGGTCTTTTTCATCGAGAGAGTGCGGAAAATGAAGAGAGCGGTGCGAGAGAAAACCACCTTTTTGCCAAAGCTAAAAGGCAAAAAACTATTTCTTGTGGAAAAAATTGATTTTTGGTGGCAACTATGAGCTTCGCGATAGGAATGGAGCTGAAACTTTGGATGGATAAAATTGCAAAGTAGTTGTCAAATTTTGGAAAACTTTTTGACTTAAAATCTAGTTTATTTCTGCAAACTGCAAGCCAATAATCAAGCAGATTCCTAGAAAATGAATTTCAAGCTGTGACAACTTTCATCAAAATCTGAGCATCGCACTTTGGACTCTTCCCATATACATACATGCGTACATAAAGCAATATCCAGCTTACATTGTTGACCCGCTAAAGTAATGTCATCTTTGCAAAATGTTCCTGCTAATCCAGTCTGCTCTTTACCAAGAAAATTTGTCTGTAAAATCCACGAACTTGAGTAATCCCTTAACGCAAAACTGAACATAAAGTACTATAATATATTATTATAGAAAATTGCAAGAGAAATTATAAATTCAGAAATAAAAAGTCCATTTTCTAAGTCCGCATAGCGAATGAATCGATTTCTGAGGCTGCAAAATATAATAATAAACAAATGCAAAACACCATGAAAAATTGCGCGCAGCAAGCTGGTTTTTGGAACGCACCGTGCAAAAAATGGTTCGATAAAAACGCACTGTGCAGTGGAGGGCAAATCAAAAATAAAACATTGAATTTTCGGCTGAGTATAGAAGCAAAAGAAAACAATTTTTTAGAGAGTAAAACGGACTGTTCGAAAATTTCAAGCCTTTGAAAAATCTGCACAGTGCAAAAATAAAAAAAATTTACGCACAGTGCAAAGAATTTTTTTTATTTTGCACAGTGCAGACAAAAAAAATATAATTTTATTTATTGTGTCGCACAGTGCAGCGAAATGGCTTTTCATTGCACAGTGCAAAACAAAAAATTTTTGTTATGCACAGTGCAATGAAAAGAAGATAAATATTTTCCATTGCACGGTGCAAACAAAATATTTTTCGTTGCACAGTGCAGAGTATAAGAAATTTTGGTATGCACAGTGCAATGAAAAAAAAATTTTCCAATTGCACAGTGCAGAATTAAAATTTTAAAATTTTTTGTTATGCACAGTGCAGGGCAAAAAATTTTTTCCTTTTGCACCGTGCAATTCAAAAAAAATATTTTTCATTGCACAGTGCAAAACCTAAATTTTCATTGTGCACAGCGCAAAAAAAATAAAATTTCCCTCATATTTTCATTTCAATTTTTTGACATAAAGTAAATCCCGGACTTGACCAACAATTTTTTCAAGTCACAGTCAACTACACACATCCATATATCCGAGATAAACACCCTCCCACAGAGCTAATTAGTTTGAAATAATAACACTTCAATTCCGTTTTGGAAGGGGATTTGGCCGCGAAATGAGCGTCCGCACCGTGCCGTCCTTGGCCAAAAAAACGAAAAAAAATTTAAGCCGATTTGGGGACCAAATCCGATGCCGATTTCCCCTAATTGTCGCACAAATTGTCCCTCATTTTCTTTTTATTTTTTGATGCCCTAAGGGTGAAGCGGGATGCAAAATATACAGTCGGAGGCGATAAACAGGATGAATAAGGGGGTTTGGAGAAAGGCCGGGGCTTAACGTGTTGTAAAAGGGATGTAGGGTGAGTAAGTAAGAGGATAAGAGGGTTCAAAAACCGGGACTTTGTAGATGACTTACATATATGTAATTGCTTGGCAAAGAAGCCAAAATAGGATGATGACGTCATACAAAGCAAGGTCTTCAAAGCGGATGAAAATCGAGTCCAATTTACAGAGAATATTACCAGTATCCTTTTGAGATGATACTGGCAATATTTTTTGCATCAGAATGTCGGGAAAATAATGTGGATTTGTCGCAGAAAAATTTCTCATCGCAGTCGCGCACTAAATCTCCAACCAGCCGTCGCAAACCAATAATGGGCGATCCCCAAGGCACGACAAATCCACATTATTTTCTCGACAGGCTTATAAAAACCTTTATCGCCGCCGCGCAGTGCATTTTGCCTTTTTTCCATTTCTCTCTGATGCACCGTGCATTTTGTTGTTTGTCGCACAGTGCAAACTCGAAAACGCGAGTTGCACTGTGCGAACGTTTCTGCGAAAACGCGGTTGAAAAAAAGCTAATGGCGCAGCGATATTTTGATGCACGGTGCAAAAATTGAAAGCGCACGGTGCAAAAAATAAAAACGCACGGTGCAAAAATTAAAAACGCATAGTGCAAAAATTAAAATTGCACGGTGCAAAAACTAAAAGCGCACAGTGCAAAAATAAAAAATGCACGGTGCAAAAACTAAAATTGCACGGTGCAAAAAATAATAGCTCACAGTGCAAAAATTAAAAACGCACAGTGCAAAAATTGAAAGCGCACGGTGCAAAAATTAAAAATGCACGGTGCAAAAATTAAAAGCGCACGGTGCAAAAACTAAAAGCGCACGGTGCAAAAACAAAAAGCTCACAGTGCAAAACCTTTGTTGCACGTGCATTTCGCAAAATTTTTCGGCCAAGTCGAAGGACTCGAACTCTAAAAAGGATAATATTTTACTTTACAATATGTATCGTAAATTTTGCAAATCGCATTACATGTGTTATATGCAGATTAAAAAAGTAAAAAAGTGTAAAAAGTCCCTCCAAACAGGAAAAAGTTGACTAAACTCACGTTTTTTTTTTTCAATTTCTGTCCTTTGACAACCAGCCGCAGGCAATTAAAACTTTATTCAATGGATCCTGCCGAGCGAAATGAAATTTTATACGGAAAACCTTGCTTCAAAATAATCATCATAATTACGGCGGCTACAAACTATTCAAAAGGAGAGATTTTTGGAGAGAGAAGATACGATTTCCGTGTTTGGAATTGTACTTTTTCTCTTGATACAATGATGTTGCTGGGTAAGAGGGATGGTTGTAATTTTTAAAATACGTAAATGGAAAAAAATTTAGGGTTTGAGAATTCAAAAATAATAAAATTATTAGGTCGTCCAGAAAGTTCGTAGGTTTTTTTCATTGCTTCGATTTACAAGGATTGTTTGTTCTTTGGCGAAGGGAATATATTTATTTGATACAGCTTTTTCTCCTCTACAAAACTGTTTTTAGTTTTTTTTCTTGAAAATTTAATTTTGCATTATTTTTCGGGCTCAGAAATGAACCATCTTTTTCCTTGTATACTCCCGGACATAAATTTCTGACCACCCATATCTCAAGTGAATATAACGCAATCACTTTGAAACTTGGCATATATACTAGTCATGACAGGCAGAATCTGCCACATAAAAACATTTTATGTGTCTTTGTCCTTAGGTAATTTATGCAGGTTTTAAAAAAAATTGGTGGACAAAACTTTCTGATCACCTAAAATAACTAAAGTTTTCTCGGTTACCTTGAGTAAGCAACATGATTCATTCATCTTAAAACACTATTTAAACAAAGCAATGAAAAAAAACGAACGAACTTTCTGGACGACCTAATAAACGACAAAATATAATAAAAAATATCAAAAAAAAATATCGAAATAATTGTAAAAATTATTCTGTCGCACTCTGAAAAAGATGATTTTTCGCTGTACGAATCTTTTTTCTGAATTATCGAACAAAATCATATTGCAGAGTCGCAAAAAAGTTCCTAGAACTTTTTTACCCCGGCGTAGATTTCTTTACAATATCAGCTTGTAAAATAAATTGTAAAAAAGGCCGTAAATTCAATATTATTGTGGCAACTGTCTGCCAAACGGATTTAAATCACTGCTCTTTGCACAGTGCAAAATCTTGTACCAGACGGGCCAAAATTTTTTGAAATATCTTTGCACTGTACGGTCTTATCGCGGAGCCTCGATGAAAAGCGAAAAAAACAGGTGTCGGTAACGCGAATTTTTGCCTCCTGGACAGGGGTGGTCAGTGGGCCGGCCGGCCTCAAAAATGGAAATTTACAAACGGGCCGGGCCCGTCACGGGCCGGGCCGGGCCGGGCCGCGGGCCTGGGGTTTTTTCCGGCCCGGCCCGTCTAAATTACAATGCCAAACCGTTGGCATTCATTGTTTTCGCGCCGGGAAAATTAACTGATGTTGTTATAGTTGCTGTTTCTTAAGTTCTAAAACGTTTACAAGTCTATAGTTCCATTATATAATAGAACCACAAAACTACCACATTGATCCTTTACTAGCTATAATAGATCAACGCCTTTTTTGCCTATGTTTAGATCCCAAGCTTGGGTGCAGTTCGCAGAACCTTCTATAAACGGGCCTGCACGGGCCGGGCCGGGCCTGGAAAAAGACTAGACGGGCCGGGCCGGGCCGGCAATTAGACGGGCCGGGCCGCGGGCCGAAAATCGGAAAAATAGG